ATAATTAGGTCATTCAATACTTCATAATTGTAATTTTTCATTTCTCTCCCCCCCCTTCTCGAAACTCCAAAATGTCGGTAGTAAGTCCGTAAAAGTTTCAGGGAATTTTTGGGGTCCCACAAACACCCCTGCAATGCAGACAAAGGAAAGAAAACATTTCGACACATTCTTTTTATGACAGAAATGTTCATTTTACTTGCTTTGCAAGTTACGCTGTCATTTCATCTCTTACTTATTTAAAATTTTCACATTGTTCTATGTCTTAAAATTAGAAATTAAAGTTAATGACCTAAAACTGCAATAGTATATTATAGTACAAGTGAAAAAATTGACAGTTTCACGCGCATGTGTGTCGGATTTGTGCAATGCTTATGGGGTCCCACAAAATTTTCATAAATGTTATGGGGTCCTGGGGGTCGGGAAAGAATCTCAGTGATAAAAGGGGTCGCGGATTAAAAAGTTTAAGAATCCCTGCTTTAATGTATCAAGCTAATTTTTCTGAAATTTTATATGCAAAGCCTTATGTTTGTAAAAAAACTTCTCAGTAGCTGAGCTAGTTTGTGTGTGAAGCTGTCTTATATTTAGGTCATCATAAGATATTTTTCATGTAATATCAACTTACGTACTGTTTCAGTTATATGTATTAATTGTTATAATTGCTTAGGTTAAATGTATGTAATTAAAAAGAGATAAAGGTTGTTTTGGAAAAGTATTTTGTTTATTAAGTTATATATATGTACATAGAAGCACAGACTACATTACAAGGTATTTCGCTCGCCTTCTTGGCATGCTATCGTGGTGTGGTGGTCTGCATGCTGGGCGCATATTCCAGAGGTCCATGGTTTGATTCCCGGCAAAGGTGTTTGCTCATTTTTCATCTTGCATGCTTCCAAAAATCCTAATGTCTGTACAGCGGTGCTCGAACTAAAAGGGTGTTGGATGAGGATTCTCCACACCCAGGATTTGGCGATTGGGTCCCCTAAAAACCCCAGTTGCCCTTTAAAAGGGGGAGTATATATTAGGTATTTCTCCTGCCATCTTGGCATGCCTTAGTGGTGTGGTGTGGTGGTCTGCACGCTGGGCTGGTATTCCAGAGGTTCGTGGTTCGATTCCCGGCGAAGGCGGTTTGCTCATTATTCATTTTGCCTACTTCCAAAAAATCCTAATGTCTCTACAACATAATAAACAAGATTTCAAAGTTAAAAAAAAAAAAAAAAAAAAAAAAAAAAAAAAAAAAAAAAAAACCTTCTTGAGTCATTCTAATATAATATATTATTGTAAAGAGCTGAAAGTTTAAAAAGTTGGTTGAACTTTGCTATTTTTCATTTCATTGGAATAATTTCATAACAGGAATATTTTCGATAGATTTAGTAACAAGGCATTTTTTGGAAATGCTTTATAGGATATAGGTACTTAAACTGAGTGATTTCTGTGTTTAATAGACGGAATATGTTAATAAAATTTTTTTATGTAGGGTATTATAATAAATATTTGATGAACTCTTTTGTAATTATTTTTAATGCATGGAGCACCATATAATTCATCAAGGCAGCTATAACTTTTAGTGTAAATAATTGTAATTAATTTTGCAATGAATTATTCTTGTTAAAACAGAGAAATAACTTGTATTTGGAAACTATTAATTTGTCTAACTGAACCATGCTGTCTAATGTAATAATGTGTAAAATACAGTTATTTGCTCTGTTGATAAATTTAATTTTCCTTCATTATGTTTTTTAGTTATCATACTAATACACAACCTTCATTGTAAGGATACTGAACAATTAGTATAATGAAATTTCATCAGTTATCTCACCTCCTTGTTGTATCAGTCTCCCATTATCATGCATCAGTTATCCTACCCATTGATAGTTCTCTGCATCAAATGTTGTTCCAGAATTACTTTTTGCATACTTCATTTAATAGCACAGAAAATACAATATAAAATCTATTTTCATCCTGCAATGCTTTGTTATATATTATTTTTTAATAAGAATATATTAAAAACAAGGTTTGTACAGTTCTTAAAAGTCCTTAGATTTTTTGCAATCGATTTTTGGTCTTTAAAAGTCCTTAATTTTGGCCAAAAGCTGCAGGGAACGTCCTTAATTTCAATCTTTTGAAATTTCTATGTATTTTTACGGCTGCCATTTTGAGCATGAACTAGCATTTTGGAGGCTTATTTTTGGTGATTCATTGAGAAGTGTTTATTTCATGGGTTATCCTTTGAATTTTGTTCCTATTTCTAATATAAGCAGTGCAATACTTGAGCTTCTGGGCAAGAAGTGAAACATAGCATTTTGAATTTTTTTTTCTTTTTTAAAACAACTTTTCTCTTTTAGGAATGTGGATTCTGTTGTTAAACAGCTCTAAATTTGGCGACTTATCATCATTTTGGCTATTTTAAGATAAATTTCTATAAAAAAATTTTTAAGTCAGGGATTTGGGAATTTTTCAATGCCTTTTTTTTAAACATAGATAAATTTCAGTAAAATGATGGTAATATATTAAAATTATACTTCAGAAATGACGTTAAAATAAAACATTTGTATTTTTTGCTGTCATATTAGAAAGTGACATTACTTTCTATTTCAATGGCTTTATTATTACATTACTTTGAACTTCTAAATATATTCATATAGAATTTTCATTCTAAATATATGTAGTTTTTAGAATAACAGAAATCTTTAATTTAATCCAAAAATTCTAAAATGAAGAGGAAACTTATTGAGGAAAGAAACTGAATACATAAAGAGACATAATTATTCTTTAAAGATATGCACAGTTATTATTATGTAAAACCAGTTCTTTATAATTTCAGCTTTTACTGTAACTTCTCCTTTCTGATTCCTTACCCGAATGCAAACTGATTAGATAATATTTAAACTGACAGCTCTGATAATTTCAGCTTTGTGTTATTGCTGCCGACATTTGAATTTATTGCTACAATAGAGTTACTGAAACAGCTTATAAATTAAGTAGTCCTTGACTTCTGGTCCACGTTTTTAATTTGACTTTTCCTGTTATATTACATCACCACGAGCTGTATTTGATTTTGTTAGCATAAGAACGTACTTTTATGTTCAAAATTCTATTTAAATAAGAGGTTTACTTAAAACTTTATCAAATTTTTTAGTTAATTTCAGACATGACGATAATTTGCTTCATGTCTGTCAGGTGTTTTGGACAATTTAACTTTTGCCAGATCAAGTGAAACCTCATTAGTTTATTGTCGAGACATTGACAAGTTAGGAGATGAAACGGAAACTAGGGGGGATATTGGTTAGCATATTGAAACAAATTTCTTATTAGAAAAAATTATTAAAGAGAAGGAAATTGATATGAATTAGTCAAAAGGTGCATAAATATTTTGTAGCTTTTAATGTGTAATTATCCTAATATTGTTTAAAAATCAATTATGTGTGTTTTGATATGTGAAATTTTATTAGTCTGTGATTTTAATAGTGCATTTTTAACAAGTATTAAATAAAGTTTAATAGTGACCATGTAAATCTATAATGACTGAGGTATCTACCTACGTAATTTAATTATTTTTAACTAATTGCTAAAAATTATCTTTGCATGTTAAAGCAAGTTATTGGCTTTCATTAATCCTCACTGTCATCACAAGATACAATACAGAAATGTAAAAATTAACGTAAAACTTATTCCTAACAACTAATGAGACTTGAAATAATATGAAATAACTAATCACCTGTGGTGCTTTAGTGGTTTATTGGAATGTTAAAGTATATTAACTACGTTACAACTCTAGGAACTCTATACAAAGCTACTACACTAACTGTGTCAGACACACAAAGCATAACTAACTTTCAGAACTTACCAACCATGCCCAGCATCTGGTATCAGGTCTTTCTCTAGGCATGCAGTAGCGGTGGAAACAGCCAGTCTTCTGTTATGGATTATGCTGATTATGATTTTACTTCTCATTTTAACCTATACCATTTAATATAAAATCTGCTATTTATTAAACCTCTAGACTGAATAAGTGCAGGAAATGAAACATAAAAGAAAAAATCAGCATGAAGCTAACTGTATGTAAGGTATATTTTAATTTTGAAACCTTTCTTTTCAATTCTTCTTTCCACTTACAACTTCCTACCATAATGAGTATTTAGAATTGTACTGAATGCAAATGAATTAGAAGTATTTAAGGACGGTTCAGCTAACTTTGATAGAGAGTGTTATGAGTTCTTAGTGGTGCGTTTGCGTTCTGACTAAGTCATTGTTGAAGCTATTGCACTCGGCCGTATTATACGTGCCTACTGATATTCGCTGGCTAGTTTAAGTTAAGGGCCAACTGCGTTAAGTAATTGTGTGTAGCTTCGTCTAAGTTAAAGCCCGAGTAAAGGCTTTTCTGTAAGCCCGAGAAGAAGCCAACTGTTATTCTTATTTGAGTGAATAAAACTCCCTTCTCGAGTCTATGTGTATATCTTCTCGAGTCTAGTCTATGTTTTGAACTCGACGATAATTTGCTAAATAGTTCACTAGGTTCTTTGACGTTTTTATTATTGACAAAGGGAAAGGAACACTACATTTAAAATGTCACTAATCTTCTTTAAAATATATTCAACTATTATAAGTGTAAAATATTTAATTTTATTTGATAAATGTTACAAAATTGATTTTATTGTCTAATTTGTTTTATAATTAATTTATTAAATTATGTTTAACTTAGGGATTCTACTTATGGATCTATTTTATTCTTAGGATGGTATTACAAAAGTGAACTTCAGGCATAAATAATATATTTAATTGAATTATTCAATCCTGTTTGCTGATAGGTCTTTAATTTTTTTTATTAATGGTCCTTAAAAGTACTTAATTTCCACGTGCAAAAATGTATACGAGCCCTGTAAAAAAGACCCCTAAATAGAGGAAAGTGTTAAGCTCATTGTTGTTATGATTTATTGCTAACTTCTTGGCTGAACTAGATAAGTGGGTTACATTTATGATATAAATTGTGATTAATGTTACAGAAAAAGAAGTTCAAGCGACTTAAGCGAATTGAAGATGAGGAAAGCGATGATGGAGATGCTGAAGATGGTGATGACAGGGAAGCAATTGCCAATGAGCTCTTTGAGGGTGATGATATGGTAAGCATTTATTCTTTCAGGTTTTCCCATTTTATTTTATCTTGTTTTGAGAATGTTTAAAGCATATTTTCATATGTGTAGGAAGGAGAAGATGAGGCTCCTCGTCAACCTGCAGATGACAGTCAACTAGCTGTTGAAGAGTCTGGAGAAGAATCAGGTTCGTTTGTGCAGTTTTTCCATTGAATTAAATAAAATAGAACTCCAATTATCTAAACAAACTGAGATTAAAGTACTTATTTATTGTAATGAAGGGAGGAAATGTCTTCGTTTGTTATCAAAAAGAAAGTATTGTGCACAGTAAACATTATGGTATACCCAGTGGCATTGCAACGGGACTCTATTGTGCCTTGGGTGCTGCTCGCAGAGGGGCACCAATGGTTGGCAAGACTGTACATTCTTTATATTATATTACTCTATGTTTTTTTGGGAGGAGGTGCCCAAAAAGATATCATGTGCCTAGTGCCAGTTATGCTCGCTTTGCCGCTGCCTATACCAGTAATTAACAACAATTAACTTTCAGTATTGAAAAACATTACACTCTAGGACCCCCTCGCCCCTCCAAAAAATAGAGGCGGGAGAGCTTACCAAGAAGGAGTAATGCCAATTGGATACAAATTGATATGCATGCAGGTTTCAGTGGAAAATGCTAAATTTTAAAGTTTGCCAGCCAATGAACAAGCATGTGACGCTGCAGCACATTTTAACTACGCAACTGACAGGATATTAGAGGAGAAATTTGGATTCCAGGTCATAATTCTTTGTGAATTTCATTTCATTCCATGTACATAATACATGCTTGCATACAGGTGCATGAACAATATGCACAGATGTCAGAATTTGAGAGAGGACATGTAGTTGGGCTGAAAGAAGTTGGTTGATCTAACTGGCGAATGATTCGACGTTTGGATAGGAGCAATGCCATTATTCGGCAATTTTGACACTAATGGGTGAACCATGGCCTAACACAGCATCAAGAAGGAAGCATATGGCCTAGAGAAACAACAGAATGTGAGGACGGATTAGTCATCAGGGCGGCATTCAGAGCCCCATATTCATCATTATCATCCCTACATGCAACTGGCACTTCAGTGCCCACAAGGACAAGTAATAGGAGGCTTAGAGAAGGGGACTGAGCAGGCTTATTCAACCTGCAGTGTTGCTGATTGAAGTAAAATTATCTTAAGTGATGAGTCCTGCTTCGAATGAGCCTAAATGAAGATGTGTCTGGAGACGTCCCAGACAGGAGTGATGATCTGGGGAAGTGGTGCGCAAACTGGGGGTCGCAACTCCTGTGGGGGTTGCCAGAAGTTTTTTAGGGGTCCCCAAATTTTTATGAAATGCATTATGCCTGCATGTTGCATACCATACAATGTACATATAAAGAGTGAAGCGCCGTCCCTCACTGTTTAATTGCAATTTCATGCTGTCTGCTCTTTCTTTGACCGTAATGCGTAATGTATGTAAAGTGTGAAGACGGTAGATAGCGCCCTCTTTGCGGTAATTCCCCAGTTTTACTGAAAAGCGCCTATTTGACTAGACTAGACGTTAACCGCAGGGAGAAGGGGAAAAATTCGCTTCCGTGATCAGCCAATCAGATGGCGAGGTACGCGGTGTATCTGATAGTCAGAGTGAAGACGTGAAGTGTTCGCATGAAGTTGTAGCATGTAGCAGTTGGCCTGCAATTGTTTTAGTTTATCCTCAAGTTTTATCATGTGACGTTGTGTAATTATGATTTTTTATATTTTTATCGGGCTTTGCTACTCTTTGCTATCAGGTATGTACTTTAGAGAATGATATCTGTTAATTTTATTGAATTTCTCGAAAAAAAAATGATAAAATTTTATATTATTTTGTTTTAGTTTAAATAATTTAACCCCTATCTTCATAATGGATAAATGGGTAATACGTACACCAGGTACATCTTCAGCTAACAAACGAACAAATACTGATGAGGAGTCGCAAAATACTGAACTAAATGCCCAATCTAAAAAAATAAGAAAATACAATGAGGAATTTATTAAGTATGGTTTTACATTTTGTGTTGTTGATGATGAAGAACGCCCGATATGTGTCATTTGCAACGAAAAATTAGCAAATGAGAGCATGAAACCAGCTAAATTAAAAAGGCACCTGGAAACTAAACATAAAGAACTTCAAAATAAACATGCCGATTTTTTTCAAAGACGAGCTGAAAATCTGAAAATTCAAAGTGCACATTTAAAGAAATTTACAACAATACCTCAGAAAGCATTACGAGCTTCTTTAGAAGTTTCTTATCTAATAGGAAAAACAATGAAACCCCATACAATTGGAGAATCCCTTATCCTTCCTGCAGCAACTAAGATGACATCAATTATGCATGGCGATAAATATGGAAATGAACTAAAAACAATACCATTATCAAGAGATACCGTGTCTCGGCGGATTTCCGAAATGTCACGAAATATCGAGTCAGAAGTCATAAAACGCATACAAAATTCATCTGTATTTGCTTTACAACTGGACGAGACTACCGATATTACTAAAATGTCACAACTAATTATTTACGTTAGGTTTATTTTTAATGAAGATATAACAGAAACGTTTTTATGTTGCAAAAGTTTGGAAGGAAAAACAACTGGAGAAAAAATATTCGAAGTAATAAATGAATATTTTGAAACAAAGTCCCTTACCTGGGCAAACTGTGTTGCGGTTTGTACTGATGGTGCTGCAGCATTAACAGGTTCGAATAAAGGGCTCAGAGGCTTAATTCAGAAGGTGGCGCCTCATATGGTATTTAATCACTGTATGATTCATCGGCAAGCTCTTGTTGCAAAAGATATGGATGAAGAGTTGCACAACATATTACAAGACGCTGTTAGTTCAATTAACTACATTAAATGCAACATCCACAACAGCCGTCTCTTTTCAATACTTTGCAATGAGATGGGCTCAACGTATGAGAGATTACTGTTACACACCGAAGTCAGATGGCTTTCACGTGGGAAAATACTACGACGGATGTTTGATTTGAGAAATGAAGTGTACATGTTTTTAATCGAAAAGAAACATAGATTGGCAAGTTATTATATCAATGAAGTTTGGCTAGGGAAGCTGAGCTATTTAGTTGATATTTTCGAAACACTTAACGACTTAAATTTGAGCTTGCAGGGTGAGAATTGAACTATCATAACTTCAGCCAGTAAAATTCAAGCTTTTAAGTATAAGCTTAGTCTCTGGCAAGCTGAACTGAATAAAAACAACACCGACGTGTTCCCTTGCTTTAACGATTTTATCAAGGGAAATAATATAGATATATTTACATTTAAAAACATCATTTCCAATCACATAGAAAAGTTAAAGGAAAATTTTTCGAGAAGATTCGAGGATTTTCCTGAAAACGATTTTGGTTGGATTCGTGATCCATTTTCCTTTGACATATGCAGTTCCAACTCTTCAAATTATTGAGAAAGAGCAATTGATAGATCTAATTAGTGATTAAACTCTTCGGAATCAATTTAAGACACAGCCTTGCCGAAAATTTTGGCTATCCATGGAAAAACAATATCCTGTTTTATGCAAGAATGCCATCAGAGTGTTAATACAATTTGCATCAACGTAATTATCTGAAACAAACTAGTTTCAATAAAAACTAAATACCGCTCACGTTTAAACCCTGAAGATGATATGCAAATTGTAATTAGCAACATACATCCAAACATCGCTGAGATAATTAGAAACTTGCAGCCACATACATCTCATTAAAGGGCAATTTACTGATTTTTGTGTTATACAAAAATTATTTTCTTAAAATTATAAATAAAATTAATATGAGTCAGATATGATGATGTTTTTATTCGATGAAACGAAAGAAATGCGCGAAATGTACATTGTATTTGTGAACATTTATCTCTAGGGGTTGCCAAAAATTTTCTCTCTACAAAAGGGGTCGCAGTCGAAAAAAGTTTGCGCACCACTGATCTGGGGTGCCATTTCATTTAATAGCAGAAGCCCTTTGGTTGTCATGTGGCATCATTACAGCACAGCAGTATATCAGCGATATTCTACATCCTGTAATATTGCCCTTCATATCACACCTTCAGCATAATGCCCACCTGCACATGGCAATAGTTTCTACTGCTTGTCTTCGTGCTTGCTCTAGACTACTTTGGCCAGCAGAGTCACCAGAGCTGTTCTCCATTGAGAATGTTAAGATCATTATGAGCAAACCCCTCCATCAGTTTGGGATTTTGGCATGATATATCGCAGGAGGACATATGCCAACTCTATCAATGCCAAGCCAAATAACTGCTTTCATAATGGCCAGAGGTGGACCAATGCATTATTGATGCACTCCTTTTGTGAACTTCTCTTGAATAAATAATCGAATGTTTCTGAAATTGTAGTTTTTCTGTACATGCACACTGTGCAAAAAATAATAATAATAATAATAATAATAATAAAAAAAGGGGGGGGGACAGTTCTATATCTCCCATTCTACTGGGCTGATTGGCAAAATTCAAATTGCGTTTTTAATGTCTCGAAAACGCGACTTAGAATATATATATATTAGATTTATATATAGCCTGGCATAGGTATTTTGACACAAAATTGGACTTTTTCTGAAATAATATACCAATTGTTTTCCATATTTCGATTCTATGATTCAAATTATGACCAGATGTTAAATTTTGTAAAATTTGGTTCGAAATTTATGGAGAAATTCAAAAATTTATCTTGGCAAAATTTTTTTCATTTTGCACGAAGAATCAGCAACACTTGGCGAACTTCTTGATATGTGGCAACCAATTTTCCTATCCCTTCAATTATGCCGGAGTGTGAAAAAAGGCACCTATTGTGCATGAGTGGAAAAAAGGTCACATCGTTTTTACTACCAAATAATTTTAGCAAAGTGTCTAAACCACATCTGATGTTTTATCGCTTTCAACAAATATGCCAAATTTCAAAACCAGTCAATATATAAATTCATGTATATCTTCGAAAATTTTGAATAAAAAAAAAAAAAAAAAAAAAAAAACTGTAAGTTTTTGCTCAGAAATACGTCTACTTTAAGATGATGGTAAAATTTTTATAGATTATAATTCAAAAATGTTTTTGAAAAGTTTATAAAAATTATTTTTAAATGCAAATTTTAAAAATAAATCTTAAAAAATGGGTGAATTTTATTTGGAATGAACCTAAATTTCGAAATGTGAAAAAGAATAAAATAAGTATAATAAAAAAAGATAGATTAATAAATATGTACCAAATTCAATTAACATTGAGGAGCTAATTTTTTAAAAACTGCTCATGCCATTTTTACAAAACTTGGTAGTTTAGTGTAATTTGAGTCGTAGAATTGAAATATGGAAAAAAAAAAATTATGTTATTTCAGAAAAAGTCATATTTTGCATCAAAATATCTATATTAGAACAATGCTATGTATAAATCTAATACATATTCTAAGTCACGCTTTTGAGACATGAAAAATTCAAGTTGAATTTCACCAATCATCCCAGTAGAAAGGGAGATATAGAAATGTGCACCATTTATTTTATTTTATTTTGTATCCTTTTTTTAAGCAGTGTACATCACATCTATCGATTTTTTTCCCATTCGGAAAGTTTCTTCTTGGTGCATCATTTTTTTTTGTCTTAGTGTGTATTGTTTAAACTAATGAAAAATTAACAGTTTGTTAGCAAATTAATAACAAACAGTAGCTTTCCTTGGTTTAGTAAAAAGAACAAATGGTCCAAATAATGGGCTTCCAAGCGTTTGGAATTCAGTTAAAGTAGAAGTTTCCAGATTACTTCTCTAGAGAGTTCTGGAGAATTTTTATATGATTTTGATCAGGATGTTTATGTAAAAATCAGTATATTATATTCAACAGTACTGAGATGTATGTACTTGGGATGTTAATGAGGCTAACAATAAAACAAGGTATCTTTCTTTCATGTAACTAAAATGTTATATTATATATTCAGCATAATTACATGTAGGATATCAATCAGTTTATGTCGAGAAACATCTGAAGTTATTTTAAGAAACGTTGCAGAAAACCATGATCATATGATGAATATATGAAACAGCTCATTTGTCTGTAAAATAAGATCTCCTATAAAGTGGATTCAAAATTTTGGCATGCATTAGGCTATGTGTAATATAATCTTTCTATTTGTAACAGATATTAATGCAAGTGCATTATAAATTTTAAAGTTAATGAATTAATTTTTTTTTTAATCAGAGAAATTTGTTTCAAATAGATGAATCCGATTTTATTGTCGATGATGATGGTCAGCCTCTCTCAAAAGGCAAAAAGAAAAGACATATCAAATATACTGATTCGTAAGTATCTAAATTTGTGTTTGTGTGAAAAAATTTGTATTAATTTGATTCGTACAATTTTTTTAAAATAATGCATTATAAATAATTTTAATAAATAGACATAATTTTATCCTTTTTATTTATTTTTTCAATTTTCATCACTTCCTTTTTTACAAATGCTTGGTTTTGTTTATTCAGTTGAAAGAAAGCTATGGCAAAATCCTTTAGCTTGTGTTAAAGATTATTTTCTTTGAACTTTTTGTTTTTATATGCCGTATATATTTTTTTACAAATTTTTTTTAAAACAAACTTAGACGAAACTTTTAGAGACGTTTTTATCTTATGAAAATGCAGTTACTCAGTGCATTATTTGAGACAAAAACCTTATGATGTCCGGTAATGAATGTCAGAGAACAAAATCAGGCAGTAGGAACTACTTTCATTGTTGGTACAAATCTAGTTCTCCATTAATGTCTTGCCTAATGAGATGAATTTGTGATGTGTGAATTCTTTCTGATTTAATTTTTAAAAATTAAAAAAAAACTCTCTTTTTTAAAACTCTGGTCATTGTCTTTTTGACCTGTTGGCTAATGACTGCGTTTTCATAAAAAGGATAGTTAATTATCGATCCATTTGGCATAGTTTTGAGCTATCCTAATGCTTTGCCTTCTTTTTGGGGGCAGGCTTGGTGGAATTCATATTTTTTGCCTGAACCTATCATGTAAGATTGATTTGAACATTTCTTACATTATCTTGAAACTTACTTGATGACTAGAATAGCAGAGAAACATGCCAATATGACAATCAAAATCACAATAACAACCTTGTATTTAGCGTAAGTATATTAAAACACTCAATCGATTTCAAGGGCAGCTAAAGGTCCCTTCTCATCAGGAGAACGGAATTCCTAGAAAGGGGAAAAAAGAAGAAAAATAAAGCATTGGCAGAGGAAGTTCGAAGCATTAGCAAAGGAAGTTTCAAAGTTCAGACTTGGTGCGTTAAAGTGCAGTTGCCCCTCGCTCCCTATTTTTTTACTTCGCTGATTTTCTTGCGTTTTAGTCTATGTGTCGTATATTTGATCAGAGAGCCTGGCTCAGTAAAAGTAGGTGGCCATTCAAAATCCGGTTACGACCACGTGCAGTGCTGATAAGGACCACATGTTTCTGAGACTCCTATGTGAATGCTTTATTTTTCTTCTTTTTTTCCCTTTCTAGGAATTTCGTTTTCCTGATGAGGAGGGACCTTTAGCTGCGCTCGAAATCAATTGAGTGTTTTAATATACTTACGCTAAATACAAGGTTGTTATTGCGATTTTGATTTACTTGATGACATTTTGGTCCTTTCTTCATTGCTTTTAGCTATAAATGCATGTACACTTTTGATATTCTTATTAGTATTACTCATAAAAAAGTTTCTACCAAATTGTTGTTGGGCAGTTTGAAGCCACCATTGGGGAAGCTTGCTGCAAGCTGGATAATCATTTCGCTACACAATTTTCATCATTTTGAATCTTTTGTTAGGAGTTTTAAAATATTCAAAACAAAATGTAGAAGTTGTCAATGTATACCACTTGGGATGAGTTTGAATCCTGGGTAAGGTTGGATATGTTATAACTGTAGTATCTTTGTGAATTGGTATTTAACCCCTTCGCGCCGACTGTCACGTCTACGTGCCAGCAATGAACAGACTCACCTCCCGGCCGACACGCAGGCGTGCCAGAGCATTTTCCCGTTCACTACCGACTGTCACGTATTTGTGCCAGTGTGCTAGAACGTTTGAAAAACTATCATTTCTGCCACAAGATGGTACTGTATGTCCATATGGTTTCAGATACATGTACATTAGACCTTCTACTCGAAATGAGAGAAGCATGACTCACATACACGTGTTTTTGATTATATGAACAAACGGGGAAATAAATGTTTCCGAATGGCGTGATTTATGACGTCTCTTTAAATCACACTTTATTCGCACGGGGTAGTTGTTTACTGTAAGTAGAGAAGTTTTATTTGCGCTAAAGCATTGGGTATTTCCATTTGCAGTTCAGTTTTTAGAAAATAATTAGATATTGATAGACGTAAATTCTTTCTGTTTTTACCGTTGCACCGTCGAAGCTTCGAAGATGTTTAACAGAGCATGAAATAGCAGAAATGATGCAAAATATTTCAGATATTGATTCTGGAATTTTGATATTCTGATATTGATTCTGGAAGATTAACTGAAAGACATTTTCCAAAACTTTGTTCAGAAGAGACTGATAAGAAAATGAGAGGACGATGCTTCGTTTGTTCACATTCCCGGAAAATTCCTCCAAAACGGCAAATGAGTTATTACGAGTGCAAGGATGGAACGTAGGACTGTGTGTAGATCCCTGTTTTCAAATTTTTCATACGAAAAGAGAATTTAAGTAATATATTTAGTTTTCAGATGTATAATGTTAAAAGTCATAAAATGGTGAGTAATGAAAATAAAATGTGTAAAATATGCATTTAAACAAGAAATAAGGTAATTAAAGTATAAAGTATAAAAATATCTATAAAGCATAAGCCATTTAAATACTCTATAGAGCATTATTAAACAGTGCTTTGATACTTCAGAAATTTCATGGATTTAGGCTTAGTAGCAAAAAAAGTCCCCGGCCCTGGACAGACGCTCATGTAAGACACTGCTGGCCTCCGCTATAAGCGCGCGTTTGCGCTACCCGGCACAAAGGGGTTAAGTCTCTTTGTGCAAAGAGAGGTTAGTAGGATATGAAACTCAGTCCAGTTCTGGTCAAAATTAAGATGGAGTTACGTAGATATATTGTTGTTGTTGCTAATACTCACTTTGTTTAACCTATAGTCAGCCCAATGCCACAAAATTCCTCGTGGCAAGGAGCACAAATGTACACCTGTCGTTGCACAGTCTTGTGCACCTTGCAGGTGACAGTGTGATTTAGCTCAGTTCCACCCCCAATTTTGATGGAGAGCACCCTTGAGAGACAGGTCCAAGGGTCTCCCACCCCTCTTTCCCTACCGCCAACCTTTCGAGAGGACTTCCGGCTCACTGTATATGTAGAGTACCCTCATGCTGCACAAACACTGTACATTTACAAACATCCATGCCTTCTTCGGGATTCTTACCTGGGCCATTTGGCATACTGTCAACTATGCTAACCACTACACTGGTTGGGCAGCACATAAATATGTATTTTGTCTAAGCTAACTAATCCAGTTAGTTCAGTTTTTCTAACATAAATATGGTGGGTACAGAAGGGTAGCTAATTCTAATCTAGATATAAAATGATGTGACATGACACCTTTGGATGTTAAAAAGCTTCCTATTATTTTGAATAGGTTATATACTTTACTCTTTTTTATAATTAAAAAAATTAAATTCTTTTTCAACCACTTGGAGTGTATTCATATATGAACCAATACTGGATTGGATTTTTATACTGGATGTATTTTTATATTTCAGAGCATTGCAAGAAGCTCAGGAAATTTTTGGAGTTGATTTTGACTTCGATATGGTTGATCAAGAAGGAGATGAATATGAAGAAGAAATTGAGGAAGAGGTATTAAACAACATTTTATCAGAAATATAGATATGGTCATTTAAGGTTGAACATATTTAACACATTTATCTTGCTGCTAATTTTCACGTAACCTGTTTTTAACCTGTTTTCACGTAACCTGTTTTTAAATTCTACAGCATTCTGCTTTGAATATATATATATATATATATTTTTAAATCTGTTTTGCATGTCAGTATAGAAAAGTTATTTTTCTTATTAAGCAGAAATGTAATTTTTATTGATTTAATATGCATATTCAGGTAATATTAAATTCAGTCAAATAGTGTAAAATTAATTTTTGTTTTATTTAGTGGATGTTTAAAATTATATGTCTTGTAATAATATTAGAAAGAAAGAGCTTTGAACATTTTGAAGACGGTGGCCAAAAAATATGTCAGAGTTGCTGTGTCCCGAAAAGATGGCTCTGATTGAAATATCAGCGAGAGAATTTCCGTCTTCTACTTCTCAGGATTTAGAGATATTTTTCGTCTGATGACCTTTCCTACCCCTTGTCTGATGACATTTGTGAATATTACTCACAACTTTATGGTTATATAAATTCCCATTCGTTTTTCCTCAACAGTGGAATGTTACCTCAGGCAAAAACTTCTAGAGTGTTTCATGTAATTTACTTGTTGTCTAGAATTCGGCAGTAATAGTGCTATATGAAAGATGCAGCATGCTGTGCAATACAATGAAAATGTAATCAATATATTTTTTTGAAACTAAAAGAAGAATATATTTAAAAGAATGCACACATAAAAAAGAAACAAAACTTATCAGAGTAATGCAAGAAAAAAATGTAGAGTGATATAACTTGAATGATAAAATGTTTACTACAATATGAAAGATAAAAAATCAATAAAATATTCTTTTTTATTTAAATTAAATTTGACTTTTTGTTTAAACTAATATTAAAAAGAATACTCAAATAGGGGATGCTAATATCCTAAAAAATACGAAGGTATTTTGTTAATATATATGTAGAAAGTTAAAATTGTTACTCAGTTTTTATAAAAAATGAATGCAAATTGCTGATTTGTGGAAGAAGCAAATGGTCAGACATTGTTTTTGTATATAAATTAAAATTGCTAATCAATGCATGTAATTCTAAACTATATTAACAGTTTGAAAAACAAAAGCCAATAGAATGTTTATTGATTTTCGGCATACCTAGGAAATATTTGCTACCAAGGCCTAGTTGTATTTGCATAAGTTAATACTCCATCGCTCTGAAATTGCAACTTCATGGGTTTCCCTAGTTTAGGGATAAGTGTCAACAGAAAAGAAAAAAAAATTTTTTTGTATCCTGCTAGTCTGTTACCTGAATATTAATAAAGACGACCCTCTAAAGGAAAGATTCAGAAGCTCCCTTGCTGTCCCAACGTTAAGGGCGAGTGGAAGTGCATTCCAATTTCTTGTCTTTTTAAGTGAAACCGTTCTAAACAGCCTTTTAAAGGTGAATCAGTAGGTAATTTAGAAGAAAAATGTCCCCCATTTATTAAAACTGTAATATGAAAAAAAGTGTATTTTATCACAAATAATTAGAAAAAAGTGGCTATCTATTTTTTAATTAATGCTAAATATGACATGTAATATTATCCATGATTTCATCAAAGTAGCATATAGAGATCTGCAGATTGGACAGAAGATAGTTGTCTTATTTACGAAACTTTCTAGAAAAAAATATTTTTTGACATGTCAATAAAAAATATAAAATGTTTACTGTTAGCTATAAAATACTATTTTTTAGTGCTAAAGATGATTGTTAATCTTCAAATTGACATAATATATTTATTTATATGTTGTAAACTCATAATAAATCAGAAAAGAAAGTTTTTGAACATTTTTTGGCATTAATTTAAAATGTTTTCCCCTTTGTATTTTTGAATGATAAAGTTCCTATATTGTTTTTTTTTTTTTTTTTTTTTTTTTTAGAATATGAAAATAGTTATATTCTCATATAACTCATTTACTAACAGCATTAAAAAACTTTAATGAGTTAAAAAAATTTTCTAGTAAAATTTTTATTTAAATTTATCTATAGTACTATTTGACTATTTATAGTATGAAGAAGAAGAGGAGGATGAGGAAGGAGGAGAGGTTCAACCAAGACCTAAAAAAACTCGTAAGCGAATGCCAAAGAAAAGTATATTTGATGTAAGCTCTTTTAAATGTTATGTTTCAGTTGTCTAAGTGATTTTAATCATGTAGAAATATATTCAATCCTCGCAGTACTTCATAATCTTCTAATTTATATTCCTTTTGTAGCGTCTCTATATAGTTTTAGGGCCCACCAGCGGCCGAACGGTAAAGTCGCTGGACACTGGTAGTTCGGTCCGAGGTTCGAATCCCTCGAACAGGCTGGCTACATGGGTGTTTTCGTGGTTTTCCCCATGTGTAACGTGTATACGAGCCAGTTTCCCTTAAAAAAGTCCTCCACAAAGGCATCCCTCCCCTTAGGCAGATAGCCCTAGTGTGCTTTGCCATAATTAAATACACCAACACCTATATAGTTTTAGGAGTACAGTAAAATTCTGTGAATCTGCACACATTGGACCGAAGGTTGTATAGATTAATGAATCATGTGGATTATAGGTCATATCTTCCTCAGTTTTTTTCCATTTATCCCTTTTTAATTTTTACATTCATAAGCATGAAAAAAACAATATAAAATGAATTTAAAAAACTCCCAGCAATAAGAATTTCCTTCAATTAAATTTGTATGCTAATTCTGCCATTATATTCCACATATGCTCAGTTAGATTAATAATGCTGTAAAAGTGTTAGAACTGAAATTTTGTATTTATTAAAAGAAAATTTCTCTATACTTTTAACCTTGTTTTCTTTGTCATGTGTTTTCAAGGCACACTTCTAATCTTTAGAAGAAAAAATTATGTAGAATTCATGACCAATGGAAACCAGCTCTTAAATTTTTTAAGGAAATAAATGCTTTTAGAGTTATGATAAAAGACTATGAAAGGTATAAAATACTTATATAATTAAGTGAATAATAATAAGTAAATGGAGATGTGGCTACTACTTCCACTATTAAAAACAAGCGTGAGAAAAGTAAAGTAGCATCTTCAATAGTGAGCTAATGTATCTGATAGCTGTAATAAAAATGGATAAAAAAATAAGCATAAAATTGATACAAAAGTCTCTCAAAGTTTTAAAAAACTGCTTGCCAAGGGAAACATTTGCCAATTACTGTAAGTGCATCTTACGAAGGGTAACAATATCCATCCCTTATTAAAATCACTTCTGTTCCAAGCTTATTTGAGTTAATTAAGTGTTCGAGTTTAATAAGGGGCAATTTCAGTATTACAAATTACAGTATTAGTATGAACTTATTTAGTAAGATAGTAACTAACAGTAATCTAATAATTGATTCATAAATTAATTAAAAATTAATGCTAAAAATAAACTATTCACAAAACTCAGAAATTTTTTTAATTTATGTATTTGTAAAAAAAAAAAAAAAATATAATTACCTACTTGATGCAATTTTAAACTTTTAAAAAGATTTGCTCTATCTGTATTGGTTTGGCATTGTTCATTAACAGTGTTTCAATTGTATTTTCAAGTTCATAAATCTGCTGGTAGCTTTTCTGATATCCACTTTTCAACTGAAGAGTTCTTTTTAGAGTTTGCAGTGCTTTTAGTGATTCAGCTGAGGTTGGCATGCAGTCACTTTCTTTTATATCACTTTTACTATCAGTTTAAATTTCTGCAGCTCTTTTAACACTTTCTATAATATTGTAATTGGTGTTTTCATTATCATCAATTGCAAGGAATTCTAAAAATGAATCTTTGTAATTTTCCTCACTGATATCTGAAATGTTTGAAATAGTGTGCAATTCCTCTGTGGCATCTTCTAAATAAAAACCTTAAAGAACTTTATTTTCGAAAAGCAGTTTTAACTGTGTTTTGGGAGACTGCCTGCCATGCATTGACTATAATATGCGTAGTCTCTAGGAAAGCTATCGACTTAGTTATCTCCTTCAAAATGCTTACATTTTCCACAAGATTTAGTTAAAAATAATTTTTTTTTTTTAAAGATGCCTTTTCTGTAATAACATTTAAAAGCCTGTATAATAGCTAGGTCAAATGGCTGAATGATAGAAGTTGTATTTGCAGAATGATATCAGAGGGGTGTGCAGTGCTGTTATCTCACAGTAAAGCTGCTTTTTTGTTTTTCAGTTCTCTATCCCATTTCAAAAGAAAATCAGTAGAAATACTGTCATCCATGAGTTCTTGTTACTATGTTAAGTTAAAAGTAAATTCCTGCCTCTTTTTTTAATCACTGACATTTTCTATTTTTTCCGATAACCACTGGTGTCTTTTTAATTGTTACACCCATTTTGCACATTAATAGCACAGTAAGTTGTTCTTTTAATTTCTTAAAATCAGCTATTGTTTCACATTTAAATGTTAACGTATGCTCCGGTAATGTTCTGCAAAAACAGACCAATTCCATCTGTGTTTTTAATTCTGTGTAGCTTGTATCCTTGCCTTTTTTTAATCTGACATTTTCTATTTTTTCCGAAACCACTGGTGTCCTTTTTAAGGTTACACCCATTGCACATATAGCACAGTAAGTTGTTCTTTTAATTTCTTAAAATCAGCTATTGTTTCACATTTAAATGTTAACGTATGCTCCGGTAATGTTCTGCAAAAACAGACCAATTCCATCTGTGTTTTTAATTCTGTGTAGCTTGTATACTTTTAGAAGCCTGGTTAAATTGTATTTTAGTCATTTCTGTGCCGAATGATGATCTTGCTTTTTGCCATGTAGTTTTTTAATCAACAATGTTATTTCTCTCTCTCTTCTGAGCCATCCATCAGCTTGCACAAAATTTTCCCCTAGCATTTTAGTGAATTCTACAGCTGTTGGTAGTCAAAAGAGCTCTAGAAATTGGAATATTTTTTAATCTCATAGCTTCAAACCATTCTAGAAGAGTAGTTTCAACATCTCTCGATTTTTCATCCCTTTTGCTCTTCCTTGAGGCATATGCAGTTTTTAGTAGTTTTTATCAATTTTATTTCTTTGTTTAAGTAAATTGCATAATGCTGTTTGGGAAATCCCCATTTCAAAAGCTACTTCTCTTTAGTTGCATTTACCTAGCATATTATAAATCTTTCAGCAATTTATCCTTTTCTTTCAGGGTTATCTACTGCAACATCAGCACTCAAGACTTTGAATTTTGTTTAGACATTTTTTACATTTTACAATGCACACACATGCAGCAAATAAAAAGTATTTCTTGCTGTGAGATGTTGAAATCCAAAATTCCTTTTTCTTGCCCAGCAGAAAGATTTCGGTTTTGCCTATCAAGTTTACCTCTCACTTTGTGATTATTGTAGGCATAATCAATGCTTTATTTTCTTTTCAGCTTGCATTGACCACTGTTTTTTTCCAATCAAAGACTGATAATGTATGCTAATACAAGGAAGCATTTCATGATGTTTTATAGGAACACCCTGCGAACTTAATGTGTGTATGCACATCAGTCGCTCGTCAGCTGGTGTTCAAGAAAGGGAAACAGTGTTCACTTAAGCACCACCTTGTCTTTAATCATGTGAAACATTCATTCATTTATAATCAGAAATTTTTCCAATGGCTATAGAGGACTCTTTTTGTTAATCTTAAGTTAGAGGTATTTTGTTGCTCTCAGCTCAGGTGGATAAAGAGAACTGCAAACAGTTGGCTGACAGGAACTAGTAAAGTGTACCTAATACCCCAAGGGGGTCTTGGTTCTACTTACAGTGGCCGAAATTTCTCCTAAACCTTTTTTTTTTTTTTTTTTTTTAAGCATTGTGTAACTTAAGGTGAATGAACTACAAACAGCTTCTATCAGCCACAAGCAGTTTATTCCAGGCTGAATAGTTAGACCTTATTTTGAGTTTTATAGGCGAGTTTAATAAACCACAGTTTTTCTAATTGATTAGTGTATATGTGTTTTGGTTCTTATAAATTTGAACACAATAAGCAGTTGAGTTTATTAACAAGTATATTTAATAAGTGGCAGGCACCGTTTTTGTTTCTATATTTATACCTTAATAATTTTTTTTTTTTTTTTTTTTTTAAATTTATACACTGTTTAGCCATCATTCAATGTTCTCTATTCTTGACATGGTTATTCAGCAAAGAATTTCATTAAACCATGGTTTGCATTCAGTGATTAGTTACTTGTTCACAGACATTTTATCAGAGTTTATAAAACCAACCTTTGTTTTGTTTTCTGATTCTGTATGTCATGTGAATTCTAATAAAATGCATAATAATAATAATATGAAGATTTGTGTTACTAGGGATTGCAGTTAATACACTAGTGAAAGAGCTTCTAGATGAAAAGAAATTTTATTTACATGTTAGATGAAAATTATTTTTACATACTTAAGTTGCATCTTTGCTAGAATTATGCGTATTCTAGCAGTTGCATCTTCTTTCTGGATATAAGCTATATTTTAATTCTAGTTTTACTAGTTTAAGAATTCTAGTTTTACTTTCTTTAGTTTTCAAAGTCTTGAGTGCTGATGTTGCAGTAGATAAATTAAAATCACAGTTTTACAGTTTAATATTAGAAAACCTGGTTAAAATTTTAGAATCAATCAGAAATGACACTCAGGGGAGTTTAATTGGAAATTGATAAGTGCTGATAGAATTTTAATATGCTATTTTTAAAGCATGGACTAAATTTAGATTTAGTATGATTGATAATAATAGCAAAATCAGTGCTATGAGCAAAGTTATGATGTTTCTGAAAAAAATCAAGGTCTGGTACTGTTGTTAATTTTATACAAGCAAATTAAACTATTGCTTTTCTATAAACTATTTCAAATTGTAAAAATATTTTTTTGAATGTTTGAATACATTAGTACTACTTGCATTAGCACTACTTGCATCAGGTAATAATAACTTTCAGATTGCACCTTTCAAATATTAGATAATATTTATAATTTGTTATTCAGAAATCCAATCTCCTTTTTTTGTATATTTATTTGTTTAGAAACTAGTTTTGTCAATGCATAAAAATTCTTTTGATTTCTGCTGAATCCTGAACTAAAACATAAATTTAGTGCCATTTTTATTACAGAATAACAGATTATCAGTTATATGCCATAAGGGAAATTAAGTGTCATATCTCTAAAAGTCTAGAGTTTTAGGCAATTTATGCATATTCTGTGCTATACTGGGGGGTAAAAAGATCTTTTTTGTTGTTCATGTTCAAATTTTTCGATAAATAAGAACCAAATATTTTTAGAAGTGCAGTATGTTTGTTCTTTTCATTCACCTTCCCCCCTTTTTTTATTATTCCATTTTTCACATCTGCTGTAATTTTTTAAAAAAGATATGATTATCCATATAAAATTATTTAGCATCATTTCAGGTAATAATAAATTTATTTTAGGAAGTGTGACAGAACACCTAAGGCTTATCACCTTAGTACAGGCATTTTAAAGCTACCTGAAGTCTTTTTCATTGTTGCAATATTACAAAGATTTTCGATACTCAATTAAACAGACAAGCATTTTATTCACTGAACTCATATGTTCAATTGGTTTTATTATATTAATCATATTTTGTGATTTGATATTTAATGTTTGATTTCTGATTTATTTATTATATATTGCATATGTTCTTTAATACATAGTATTATAAGTAAATTGAGCTGCTATGGAAGTTTTTTACTTCCTTTCAATCCAATTGTATTAAAATAATGAATCATTAATTTTATGAATTTGCATTATTGCATATTTTATGAAAAAATGCTTTATGATTTAAATAAGAAGGTTATTTATTTACCTAGGTTTTTGAACCCATTGAACTTGAAAGAAGTCATCTTACTGACCTTGATAATGAAATAAGAGCTGCAGATATACCTGAAAGATTTCAAGTATAACAAATCTTTTTTTTTTTTTTTTCCAGTAAAAGATTTTATTGAAAGACTGTTTGTCTTTTGAATTAATTATAGCTATAGAATTTAATTTAAAAATTACAGCTCCGTAATGTGCCTGTAACTGAAGCAGCAGATGATGAAATAGAAGAGGAAGCTGAGTGGATTTACAAACAAGCATTCAGTATACCTACTATCTCAATCCAAGAAGGTGAGCATTCGGGTTCTGGACATCAGCCCATTGGTGGACGTAAAAATACAAGTGCTATAGGAAAGATAAGGGAAGCTTTGAACTTTATTCGAAATCAGAAGTTTGAGGTATATATATTTTAAGAGCTTGATAAGTTATTAACCGATGCTTTAATGATAGTTTTTAGTATTTGAAACATTTGTTGTTTGAGTGTTCCCTTTCTTCAGGTCATGTTAACATTTGCTGCATTATGTTATATTACCACAGCATTAATTATAATATATAGCTGGGTATACTGTTTGCTTCCATAGCTGTTGCCAATCTAATGGCAGAATAACTTTATCTTTTTTCTTAAAATATGTATTGCTTATAAATTTATCATTTTGTATGTTAGCATTTTATAAGCAATATATAATCTTCCTACCTACATATATAATTCTTAGCTTTATTTTATTTTTAGTAATATACCTGATTTAATTTATACATATTTGATAATATTTACTTCGTAAGTGTAATTCTTAAAAGAATATTTTATAGCCTTATATATTTAGATATAGTTTTTTAGTTTTTAAATCAGAAATAGAAATGGATTGTGCATCATAAAAATAATTTTATCATTATTATTAATTTTACAAGTATTCATAGACAATTTTCATTTGGCAGGTACCATTTATAGCTTTCTACAGAAAGGAGTATGTTGAGCCAGATTTAAATATTAATGACTTGTGGACTGTGTATAAATGGGATGAGAAGGTAATTTTGGTGTAATTCTTATTTTTCAGTCAATTTTTGTTTTTGCTTTGTAAACTAAATTTGGAACTTAAGAAAACTGCTTGTGTTAATTGTTAAAAATATCTGTAAGGGGTTTTAATAAGTACTTTCATGAAAAGATTTTTTTAAATTAATAATTTTTTTAAAAATAGTGGTGCCAGTTAAGAGCGCGGAAGAAGAATTTGCAAAGACTTTTTGAAAAGATGCAACAATATCAGTGTGATGAAGTCATGTCTGATCCTGAGAAGCCTCTATCTGAAGGACTGAGAGCTCTGGATAATGGTGATATATTTAGGTATGCTTTATTAATTTTATTTGAAGTTTAAAACAACAAAGATATTACTTCTTAGTTGTATAATGCTACTTCCCAGTTACATGAGTTGTATATCACATAAACTCTCGAACATAAATGCTGTTCATTTTTTTGCTGCAAAAATCTGACTATTTTAATCAAAATTTAAAAACATATATACCATATTTACTCACATATTTTTCCTCTAAGCATTTTAGCACAAGGTTCTAACAGTTTTTTATAATTTATAATTTTATTTTTATTATTTTAGAATTATTCTAAGTGTTTACGTAATTTTGCCCTTCCTCAAAACATTCAGAAAGTGAGCTTTCCTAAATTTTAAATTGGAGTCATGCACATAGTGATTTGTCATACTAATTTGTTCATGGATTTTGGGTGCATGAACTCTAACTGATGAAGAAATAATAGTGAAGAGCTGTAAGAAAATGGGGATATTTGATACTGTTGATTGTTCTGAAGACCATTGCACATGGAAAGACAGACTGAATGGTGACAGTATTGATGACTTATGAACTGATGACACAGATAGCAGTTCCAGCAGCAATAAATTATTTGAGGCCTAGGGAGTAGTAGTGGACAACAGCAACATTGGGTTAGGTTCAGGATAAAATAAGTAGAAAAGAAGATGTAATATTAGATATGGATAGTGTTAACATTACTATGTATTCTTGTTAAAATGTAGGTTTCTTTTAAATAAATTCTGATAGTAACTGGTAGTTTATCCATGACTGCATTTCATTTATGTTATATAACTGTGTCCTTCAGAAATTCAATTATTTCATAATGTTCCCCTCTCGATTTTTGTACAAAAGATAAATTAGTAAAAAATATGCATGTAAATGTGGTATATAATCAGATGTAGTTATGTATTTTTTTATGTAATATAAACTGTGCTATTTATCTGTTAGCCAAGTTGTAAATGATTTATTTGTAAGCTGTTGCTGCACTTATTCAACTGCTGACATCTCAAGAATCACCAACTTAAAAACTTTATTGAAAATTATTAAAGTACAACAAATCAATTTGTGAATGGCTCCTGAATGTATTTGATTTAAATATCAAAAAATTTATGAAGATCTTTGTTTTTTATTTTTTTAATATATAAAGTACAAAGTTTTCCTAAACATAAGTTTAGGGACTGGAGGAATGTATAAAAAGTTAGATTTCATAATTCATTTCATGATTGTGAAAGTAAAGAAATCGCCAAAAATCTGCTGAATACTGGTAGCTAGTTTGCTCTAGGCTTAAACCCAAGCAAACAGGGAAACATACTGTAGGTTTCTGTGAGTTTTGTACTGTATGTCACTCATTTCTGTTTGTGTATTTTTATTATTGAAATTTTTTGTAATTCATTTTCTGCTGTTCATTGTAATTAATTATCTCTTTTCTTTACCGACAGCACCAAAAATCTCTTCTATCAGTGACTTATTGTGCTAATCTTCCCTTGAAATTCATCTCACTACCTTCCACTTCTTCGTCTTGAGGTTGAGTTTGTCAGGTATCAGGCATCTCTGCTATATAGCATTTTGTGCCGAATGCACCAAACCCAATGCTTGCCAGCTCCATTTGTTTGGGTCGCCCACTTTGTTTATAAACCCTAACAGCCCTTTAGCAGAGCCTCTTTAGTATTAAAATACCTAAAGTAGTCAACGTTATTAGAAGTTCAAGATCAGTAGTGTGTTCCTTCAATAAGCGTTTTTCAGGATGTTCCTCAATGAGTACAGCCATCTTGACTACCATAAGAGCCTCCCTGAAGGTATAACCTTTAGATCTGTCTCTTTTGGCAGTCATCAGGGCTTTATTCTGCTTCATCCTTTGAGATTTCCTTTTTTCACCTGTTCCCTGGTATTTTTTCAAACTAAGTACCTGTGGCAATTTTCCGTTCCTGAGCACCTTTCTTTCTCTCCTTCTTCTTCTTCTCTTCATTTTGGGGGGGGGTGGGGTGCTTTGGATATTCTCTTTTTGATTTTAATTTTATCTAGAGAGGCAGTCATGCTTTTAATAGCTTCCTGTCATACCTTCCACAGTATGTGCAAAATTTGATTTCATTCCATTAATTAATTTTAGCTGCAGATGCATTCAAAACAGGGAAAGTAATTTTATAACCATCCTCTAGATGTTCAATGTTCGATCAGGTTTTTTCTTATTAATTTTGATTTGTGAAACAAGGTCTATGTAAAAGCTATTAGCATATTAATGTTTCCTAAACTATACAATTATTCCTAGTACAAAAATTTGTAACTGAGCGTATTTATTTTTTGAACAAGTACAAATAAAAGTTAATGAAATCTGTATCTTTGAAATTTTTAATAAGATTTATATCTCATTGTAAATTAATTAGCTCAATTAATAGATTTTCTAATATGTTATTCATGTTTGTTTTTAAATGTAATGAAAATAATGTGAACTCTAACTTCAAAGAAATAAAAATTTTGAAATCATTGCTGCAAATGCATAACTGAAATGTATTCACAGGCCGCATAAAATTCCTTTGTGGACCATTTGCAGTCCATAGGCCATCAGTTTCAGACTACTGTTTTAAAGTATATCAAGTTCCTTATTATAATTTTATAGGTAGAACGGAAATAAGCTGAATTATTTCACTTCTTCAGTTGAGAACTGATGGAAATGGTAGCATTTTTTATTTATTTGTAGAATTTGCATTTTAAATTTAGTTTTTACTGTTAAAATTATTCTCTAAGTTGAATTATAGCTACAACTTTTAATGATTTGATTCTTAAAGCCCTCCATCAACAAGTGTAGATAGTTTGTCTTGTGACTTCCAGCAAATATACTAGCTGCATGGCGATTTTATAGTTTTTAATCTGAATAATGTAAATACAGGCTTCTCTTAAAACTGCCTAATTAAGCCACAAGGCCCTTTAGGCAGATAACCCTGGCAAGCTTTGAGACAGTTAATTAATCTGTCAAATAAATTACCGAATTCAAAATATACAGTCTTTAAATAGTCCATGTACTTTTTTGTAGGCTAACAAAAGCCCAGACAGTCGAAGAAGTGCAAGATTGCTATTTACATTTCATGTTATATTATGGACATGATGTACCTGCCATGAAGGAAGCATTAAAGAAAAAAGAAATGAAAGAAAAGGAATTAGAAGGTAAAGAAGTACCTGAGGAAGAGCAAGAAGTTGAATCTACTAAGATTAAACACGTACCACACAAAGATGCTTATGCTGTATGCAAAGAGGCAGGGATTGGTAAGTTACAGAATTTTAAACTAGTGTATACTCTTTTTTTTTTTTTTTTCCCTAACATCACTGATATATATGTTTTCTCAAAGAAAATATTTTAAATTTGTATTTCGACTATTAAAAAAAAAAAAAAAAAAAAAAAAAAACAGTGGCTCAACAGCTCTAGTTGGGCCAAGGCCAGCAGTGTGCCCTAAATCTGCATTCTTGACTGTGGGCCCCGAGGTGCATGAGCATATACCCTGAACAAGTGGCCAGCTTGTCACAGGACCCCCGATGTTTAGTCCCCAAGCTAGCTTGGTACTCATTTTATCGACCCACTCAAGGGATGAAAGGCTTAGTCAATTTCGCGCTGCCCGGAGACCGAACCCCGGCGCAGTGACTGCGCAACACGCTAGCCACCGTGCCACCGGGCTTCTGTATTTTAAATTAATTTATATTAAAATTTCATCCATGGTTCAGAAATTATATTTAAAATGCAACATTAAATAACTATATTATTTATTTCTACATATTATTTACTACTTTCTTGGTGCTCCAAATCCTCTAAACAGCTGTGTATTTGATGATTTGTTTATTAATAGCTGTAGTTTCTGTGTAAAACAGACTGTTGAGTTTTATGTATATAAAGCATGGCAAATGCAAAAGAACAGGGTAAAGTATTTCTAACATATGGTACCCCATTTATAGTGATAGTTATAATAAAGAACTTATTATTATCCACCATTTTCCCTTCAGGCTAGATTTCATGTGATTTATGCTTGTCATAGAAACAGTAGTCAAATTGGCAACAAATATAACAACTTTGATACTGGATTTATTTGGAAAATGCTCCCATAATTTACACTCATAATGAATAATCTTAGCAGAACTGAGTAGTGTTTTTCCAGCCTTATGAGGTTCAGAAATTATACACATATGTCAAAGATGAAGTAAACTACTTTCTTTTGATTAATGTCAGAGAATAAATGAATGCTTTAATAACTTTTCTCATCAACAGTGTGGTGAGGTTGGAGTTGTTGAATTTACAGTTTTGGAAATAATGCCAGAAAAGGGAATGTCTTGCTGTTAGTCTATTGATAATCAAATGATTGACATTTTAGTAAATTTTTAAATCAAAAGATGAGTGCAAAGTAATTTATTGTTTTATTTACTTTTTCATTGTTCTCTTTGCTCAACAAAACTTGTATTTCATAGACATAATACAATATGACATCTCAAAATGGTAGAACTGTATTCTACAGCGGACACATACATTTTCTACTATATCCAGTGTTCTCAACTTAGGTTGACCAGTAGATAGATATGTTGAGGTGACTAGACCTTTTAAGACAGATTCGGACTGTTCTGGAAGATTTTGCCGAAAGCATATAAGCAAGCCAGATTGATTTAGTCAATCGGTTTATAATCTGATTCTAGTGAAATTAAACTCAGTGCTTCATATAAATAAACTGTGATATAAATTATTTTATGTAGTATTTACTTCATTTGTTGTTTTTGATAAAGAGTTTTGTGATTTTTTTTAGCCCAAAAAGGCTATTAATTTCGTTTTGGTGTTTTGCATCGATTCGCTGTGAATATCTGTTTCACTTTTCAAATTGTTGCCACCAAATATTATCACCATGTGTTATATTTAAAGAAATGAAATAATGAAGAATCTGCATAATTGTATGTATGTTTCTTGCATTGTGATAAAACAACAGTACGTAGAGCCATCAAATTTTAAATAGCATAATCCTCCAACGAATATGGACATCTGAAAGCCTAATTTGAATTTTGGAATTTATTTTTATTATTGATTTCATATTTTGTAATACTTTAACAAATTTTTGATTAACAAACTCGAAGATTCAGTGGTAACACTGTACGGAACAAAAAAATTTTATCTCCAGTGCACAAGACTGTATCAGAAATTCTAAAAATATGCTCATTTTAAAATATATTTTTGATTAAAATTATTTTGCTTTTTAACTGAATTTTTTGGTTTAAGTGAGAAGAACATTATATTTAATAAATAAAGGTAACACACAAAATGTTAAAATAGCCCCTTTGGGTATAATATAGAATCTGAAGTCTTTCAGATCCCCCCCCCTCAATTCCAAATGAATGCCCGAATTAGCAAATAGTACTAGTAGAAACATCTACTGTTATCCCCCTCTCTTTTATGTTCAATGATGCACTGATTTTTGAAAAGTGGTAAACTTTATAGTTCAGATAAAGAAATGTCTTCAACCAGTGGCACAACTGTGAAGAAACAAAAGTATCATAAATATGATTATGGTTAAAATAACACGATGAACAATTATTAATTTAGAAGTTAAACAACAAAAATCAGCGTTGTATTTTCAAATTTTCACAGGACTAGTTTTGATGGTTTTACCGAACCATCAAAAAAACCAAAAAGCAGCTATAAAGCAAAAACCAACGTGGAAAAGGACTTTAGGATAGCCGTATCCAGTTTAATTTTACGGTTTGAGAAAACGTGGAGTGATTTACAGGCTCATCGATCATGAGAAAAGAAAGATGCATGAGTTTTATTTATTTTTATCTCTTACTTACAATCATTCATTTTTTTGATTAAAGTAGGGTGCCATGGGAAATTTTTAATCAAAAAAGGGGCCATGACTAGGAAAAGTTTGGGAATCACTGGTAAAAGAGTGATTCCCAAACTTTTCCAAAGGTATTTTCTCCTTCATTTCTTCATGCCTTCATGGTGTAACTGGAAGTAAGTTTAATTGGTAATTGGGTGGTGTAAAGTTCCCTGGCAATGCCGCTGGGAATTTCATGAATTTCCCGGCTTTGAAAGATTCTGAAAGGTTTCAAAAGTGTCATCTGAACTAAAAGATAATGGATGATAATTTGTCACCATTAGAATTTGGTGACTTCACTCGCCTTATAAAAAGGGAGAGGAGTATGTAAGGTATATCATGTATATATTTCATTTTTATTATTCTGAGGTTACGTCCCTCGTTACCACCCTCTTATTTTAGCATTGTCTCTCCTGCCTTCGACCAACAGTAATTTCTTCCTCCTTACCACGTGCTTTCATGGTGTAATTGAAAGCACGTCTTACAAGTAATCAGGATGTCTAGAATTAGAATCCTTCCAAGGACATTGCAGATTTCTTCAGTTTCGTGGCTTCAAAAGTTCTAAAAAGTTTCAACTGTACAGATTCTTATACTTGGAAGGGAAAAGGAGAATGGAATTAAGGACCTTTATTTCGATCATTTGTCATTGCTTTTCCTTTTATTTGTTTATTTATTTAAGGAAGCAAGTGCAAAACTCCTCATGTTCCACAAAGTATGCCATGAAGCTTACAGATGTAAGTAACTCAGTAACAGAGTGCAATAATACATAATATCTGTAACTGAAGAGAATAAAAAATATATATAATACATATTCTACTATAATAAGAATACTAAAATATTCTGTAAATAATAAAACTTTAATAATAATACTATTATAAGGAAAATAAATCATCATAATAATAGTAAAATGTAAAAAATAATACTAATATGAAGGAGATATGATAGAACATTAATACATACAGTGGATAAAATACAATAATAATACAATGCCACATAAGATAATAATGCAAAATACATAAATAATGATACTAGAAATTTAAACAATAAATAAAGTTTTGCAAGACAGCAAACACTTCAGAACTCTTGACAAACAGAAGGCTAGCAAATAGAAAGTTGCCTTAAACTCACCTTAAATATAGTTGTAGTAGGCGCATATAACCAGCAGTGCCATAAGATGTGCTATGCATCTTCTACAGCTGGGCTGTCCAATTGGTGGCCAGCGGGTCGTATACGGCCCGCCAAATTATTTTTACGGCCCGCGAGTACATTTTACTATGAATAAACTTATGTTACTAAATTATTATTATTAATATTAAAATTATTTTACTATGTGAAAATTTATATCTAATTTGAATTTAAAGTAGGTATTATTTAGTTTGCGTAACTTCACTTAACTTGGCTGAATACAGCAGCAATCTGTTTAACGTCTGATGATGGTTGGCTCAACGTTGGCACCACATATTCTATTTGTGGTTGGTTGTTGTGTATCTATGGTTGGCGCATGTGATGCGCACACTACCCTGCGCTATTTGGCTGATTTATGCAATGGTGCGAGTGCAGTCTTGTCTAGAATTTGTTGAGGGGTGACTATGTTATAATATTATTAACTTAATTTCATATTTATTTATTAATTAAAATAATTATTGAATATGAGTGCTACTAATAAAAGAAAAATAGATCTTCGAAAATTGAGAATTTCAAGATCGCTGGGAGATAGATTATTTATTTATTCTGAACAAGAATGGTAAACCACAGTGTTTGGAATGTTTACAAATCATATCTGTGTGTAAGGAATATAACTTGAAGCTCCATTATCTTTCCATGCATGAAAAAAAGTATCATTCGTACACGCGAGACATGAAAATACCACTAGTGAAAAAAATGAAAAAGCAGCTGAATAATCAAACGATTTATTTTAATCAAGAACCAAAATTTCAAGAAGCATCTGTAGTTGCATCGTTTGAAGTTTGTTTAGAAATAGGCAAAGAAGCTATTTTTGGATGGAGAATTCATTAAAAAATGTGCCATAAAAATGGCTCAAGCATTTAATGACAACGAAATGGTAAGAAAATTTCAAACAGTATCTCACTTTCTCACCAGACTGTAAGCCGACTTGTAAATGAGATTAGCATGCACGTCACAAATAAATTAGAAAACCTAACCAATTGTTGCTGCTATTTTTCGGTAGCATTGGATGAAAGCACAGACATTTCCGATACAAGTCAAATGCTTATCTTTATAAGAACTGTAAATGAAAATTATAATTATTCACAAGAACTTTGAAAATTACGATCATTACACGGAACAACAAAAGTTGAAGATATTTACAAACAATTAAATTCATTAGAGTATGGCAGATTTGGCAAGTGTACTGCTGTCGTAACCGATGGTGCTAGAGCTATGACAGGCAAAAATATTGGGCTTGCGGGACTTTTGCAAAAAGAAGGAATAGCATGTCGTATGTAACACTGTATTACCATCAGGAAGCATTATGTCGTTTATCCCTACAACTGAAAGACTTAATCGACAGAATTTGCAAAATTAATAATTTCATTCGCGCCGGGAATCGTTCCCTTACACACCGAAAATTTAAAACATTTTTGGATGAATTGGAAACTGAGTATGGAGATCTGCTTTTACATAGTAACGTTCGTTGGTTAAGTGCTGGAAAGTGCTTGAGGAGATTCTTTACACTTCGAAAAGAAGTTCATCTTTTTCTCACAGAAATTGCTGTCGATGAAAATTTGACAGCAAATTTAGTTGATAAAAATTTTATTTATTCACTTCCTTTCCTAATGGACATTACAAATTATTTAAATATTTTGAATAAATCCTTGTAAGGACAAGATCAAAATGTGTGTTGCCTTTATAAATATGTTACTGGATTTAGAAACAAATTAAAATTGCTAAGGTTTAATTTGAAGTAAAATAATTTATTTCATTTTTGAATCGTGTAAAAAGATCTATGAAGAAATGAAGGAATGTAATATAGAAGCGGATTTTAAAATATTTCTACCAAAATTGGATATGCTAATTACAGATTTCAATGAAAGATTTTCTCAATTTGATGATCTTAAACTGTCTATTGATTTATTTTGTGATCCAGTTAATATTGATATTAACTCTGTTGATCTTAAATATCAAATAGAATTATGCGACCTGCAGGCTGACCCATTTTTTACATCTCGTGGAGTAACTGGAATAGAAATATTCAAATTTTTAGATAAAGAGAAATATCCAAAATTGAGATATTTTGAACTTTAAATTGTATCAATGTTCGGAAGTACATATATCTGCGAGCGTGCATACTCCGATATGAAATATATAAAGTCAAAATATAGAAACAGTTTGAGAGATTCCACTCTTGAAGATGTAATTAGACAAATATTGATGTGGACATAAAAAATATTGTTGCTAAACAATTACGGCCACAATGTTCTCATTAATATATTACGAATACTTACGAATACAAAGTCCACTGGTCACAGTATTAAAATGAAATAATTAATTTCTTAAATTTTCATGATCAGTTAAGATCTGAAGATCTGAGTTAATTATAAGCTAGTTGAATGTACTTTTACTTAGAGCAATAAAAACCATTGGGAAAAAGTTATTTGTCCTCTAGGCCTACATGAAGCAAGGTTTTCAGCATTCCCATCAACTGAGTTTTATCCCAAACAACATGCTTCCAATAAGACTTGGGAACAGATATCATGAAATCAATATTACTATTAGTCAATTGGTCAGCCCTTTCATTAGCAGTACCACAGAAGCGTAGCTAGGGTTTTCAGCGCCCGGGGACAATTGAAAATTTTGCGTCCCTTTCTCTGTACCGAACGGAAAACATTTCATTTTAAAAATTTGTAACATCAATTTGGCGCCCCCTGAATGCTGCGCCCGGGGACAGATGTCCCCCTTGCCCCACCCTGGCTACGCCACTGCAGTACCAGGAATCCCACTGTGACCTCAGAACATAAGTAAAATGAATATCTGCAGTTTGTTCAGTCGTGCATAATATGGAGTGACCACTTGATGATATATCATGTAGAAAAAAGTGAATCTGTGCAAATAAGGTATTTAAATTTCTCATGATTATGGCAAGAGTTATATATCAATTTAACAAGAAGATTTAAGCTCAGAAGTGCAGCCTGGGAAACAGAACATTCATCTTCTTTTTCTTTAACAGTGGTAAATTTAAATTTAGCATATTTTCAAAGATGACATCATTGATTAAAATTTTTCTTCAAAGTGAAATATTGTTATTGAAATCATGCAAGAATGCACTTCTTTATTTATTTCTTTTATGTGCTCTTTAAATACAAAGGGTGTTTTGCTATAGCATACAGTCAAAATAATACGGCCAGAATTTCATGCAATATAACTTGATTTTCTTTTTATTACCCTTTTGACGCACAGTGTTTGCACCCTGAAACCACCAATTTTCGAATTTTTTTCTTCTCTTCTTTCTGAAATTTTTGAAAAATGACTGCAGAATCATACATGTTTTAGGTCTTAGTACTTTAAATCGGATGCCTTTTAAAATTTGTTTTCAATGAGACAAAATAATTTCCTTTTATTAATATAAACAACTTTAAATTTCAAAAGTTATTCATCGTACATCGTGATTTCTATCATAAACAATAAAAAATAGCATTAATTAAACTGCATATTTTAAAAAACCTATCTACATTTATGGCATTTGCTTTGTGGTTTCAGGGCTCAACCACTGAGCCACTAAAGCATGGTGCCACAATCCTCTAGATGCTCGGTGGTCGCGCCTTAAAAACCACTGCTCTTCACAATGGCGTTTGCTACTTTTCAAATAGGAATGTTTATTTTTACCCGGATATAGATAAGGGGCTTTGAAACCACAGAGTTATTTTATTACTAAACAATACATGCACCTGCCCAGTGAAAAGATCTTTCTTTCCTAGAGATTTTTCTCAGAACTCGCCACACTTGCTTCTCAAGCTAGTATTGTGATTTTATAAATTATTTCACGTGGTTTAAATTTAATGTAAATATACTTTGCTATAATTAAAAATAGAAATTACGTAAAAGTGTTAAGTTAAAAATGTTTTCTAAATATTTTGGATGAAATGCGAATAAAATAAATATGAATAGGAAATGAATGTTCCATACCAAAGCCAAAAAGACCAAGCCTTCCCTCATTAACATAAAAAAACACAAATTTCATACGTGAGATGAAAAGAATGTAAATAACGCTGGAATTTAGATACCAGTGAAATTTAGATCCAGGCAGTGTACATTTTGTAGCACAAAGGAGGAACTTCATAGAACAAGATACATGTGCGAAACGTGTGATGAAGGTCTATGTATGTACCAAAAAGACAAAACATGCTTTGTACAGTGTCACAAAAATAAATAAATAAATAAATAATAAATAAAATAAATAAGTAAATAAATAAATTGTTCTTTGAAATTTATATATATATATATAAAAAAAACTTACTTTACTGAGTTTTTTATCCATTTATCCGAACGTCCTTATTGCGTAGGTACTTATATTTTCACTGCTATAGAAAAATTACATAAATTTTTATTTTTAAGTTTTTCTGAGGATTTACTTAGTAAAAAAATTACATAAAAGCAGTTCTTACATGCATTTTTTTTTTTTTTTTTTTTAAATTGGCAAATTTCATCATTTATTGGAAATGCACACAGAAAAATGTAAGTTTTTTCCCCCTACTACCTCAGTAAGTTTCAAGGTCCTGGATGTGCTTTGGTTTCACAGTGTGACCACCACCCACAGAAGAATGGGCAAGAGTAGATTTTTTTTAAAATTCATGTATTATTTGTCTCTAGGATCATAATATTCAATTTCTAGAGTTTTTAGTTTAAAAAAATTATAAAAATAATATCACGTGCATCAAAATGTTAATCCAAAAAAGAAAACTGAAGCTTTGATAATAATATCCACTCTAAAACAAAGAAGCTTCTAGTAAAAGAATCCTATCCCAAAGAGGCATGCTGCATATAAAACAAGTAAGTGGAAGCCCAACTCTTGGGAAGTTAAGAACCAGTTATCCCCTGCAGATTTGCTTTCTTCAGAGAAAAATGTAGAAATTAAGCTATGATGGTCTCAAGTAGCCGGCTGTCTCAGTTTACCTGACAAACAGATTCTAACTATATGCATGACATGGCAGGATGTTTATGAACAAAGAAAACTACTTAACGAAAACAATGTGAAAAGCAGATCATAATGGTGCTAAAAATAACATTTGTGATTCAATTTTTTTAAGAGCGTCTCATTAGAGAAAATTATTTCTCTGTTTTTCATCTAATTTATTGTAAGAAAATAATATAATATTTGAAAATTGTACTTGTGGCTCTTTTGGGAAGCCAGTTCATCAAAAGTGCACCAGCCTGAATAAAGAAATTTTTAGCCACTATAATTGTGCAGCTATAGAATAGAACAGTTCTGAAGCAGTTTCTTCAGTCCTTTTACTTTTGCCATATAAATTCAGATAGGTAGGACACCAAATGACATATTTTGCTGAAGTGTTTTTGGCAACGTTGTCAGGAAATTCTAACAAAGAGCAATAGTCTGTTTCCTGGCAAATGTTACTGAAGATCTGCTGTTTATGTAAGATCCTTCCAGTATTGTTTTTCCTGCTGTCCAGAATTTATGAGAGTTTGTAAGTCAATTTTGACAATTTTATTAGATTCTCAAGTTTGGCCTCTTAATATGTGGACTAAAATTCTTGAGCAAATTTCTCCAAGTTATTTTAATCAGTGGTTGTATTATTTAAACATAATAAACATAATGTTATTAAGAAAAAGAACTTTTGATTCATGAAAGTTTCCATCAGGGCCACGTAAATTAGTGTATGCTAAATTAAAGTCAATGCCTTTTTCTCTCTCAGCCTAGTGCATGATCGAATTTAAAATAGTGAATGTATCTATGAGGCAAATATAAATTTTAAAAACAAATGGAATATCGTAATAAAGAAAAATTGACATAAGAAACTAGCAGATGAAAGATAAAAAGAAACACATGTGAAAAAAAAACGAGTTACCATTAGAGGCCAAGGATAACATTTTAGGTAATTTATTGCGGCTGCCAAAAAGATCAACATAAAACTTGAAAAGGATAAAACTATACTTCTTATCAGCAATAATGTATTTTTAAGCGATTGTGAAAATTTTTCTTCCCCTCTCCTTTTTTGTGTGTATAAAGAACTGAAATTTATTTTCTTTGATTTAGGAATACTTAATCTATTCTTGAAAATAATCTTACAAAATTATCTATATTTTTCTAGATGGTTTGGCCAAAAAATTTGGTCTAACACCCGAACAGTTTGGAGAAAATTTGCGCGATAACTACCAGAGACATGAAGTAGATCAATATCCAGTTGAGCCTAAAGAAGTAGCCTCTGATTACATTTGCAAGTAAGATTATCGTCATCATTCTCTCCTAGCAGAACTTTTAATATACACAAAATTTTATATATGCCGTATCTAGAACAAATAACAACCACATGATGGTCTCAAACTATAGTATGCTACTTTAAAATAAGCGCTTCAAGGCTGTTGGGTGACACTCCATTATTTGCAGTTATCATCATTGCACAAAAGAAATTTGTGATTCTAACAAATTTGAGCATTTGACCTTTTTCTGCAACAGATGTTGCCATGATTTGATTTGAGTGGAGGAAATAACCTTGAAGTGCCCATTTTAAAGTAACAGATTATAGCGTGTTCAGATTATCAACTTTAAAATATTACTTCTTCTTTAAGAATACATTTTGCCTTTTAATATTCTAAATATTTTTTTAAATTTAAAATTTAAAGGAAGTACATAGTATGAAAATACACTTCAAGCATTAAAAGATGCTATAAAATATTGCATGATAATTATAATTTTATCTTAAAAATGTATACAGTCGATTCCGGTTCATCGGACCACATCAGGAAGAGATCATTTTGGTCCTAAAAACCGACTGGTCTGATTACACGACTATGTCCTATGTTGTAAGACGGGACGTGCTATATGTAGCAAAAGTAAATGCACATGTAAATCATGTACTAAAATGTAATTATGACCTTTATTGTGCGGTACACATGTATCGTGAACATACATGTACAACAAGAACTACAGTCGAACTTTTTTCATTGAGAAAATTAATTTAGAAACAAATTCTAATAAACGATCTTCACAATACTCAGCATGTAAAGCACAATAAAAACAAGCTCTTACCAAGTTCCAGTCAACATTTGAAGAACTTATCCAATGTGATCTGACGCTTTCTCTTGACGGATTGCACGTGAACGAAATCGCCACAAACATCTAACACAGCAATGGGGATTTTCTTCATTTCCCTCCTGCATGAAATATCAGTGCAAAGTTTTAGTGCAATTCCTTGCATCCTGTGTTGCACCAACTTATTAGTAGCAGCATCATCATCATCATCACTTTCTTGGTGTTCTGATGCTGTTGTATGTTTTGCTGCAACTCGAGCAACGATTGCAGCATTGTAATCTTCATTTTCATCATAGCATTGAAGCTCATTGCCGATGGATAAATATTCTTCATAATATTGTACCTGTTGAAGTTCCAAAGGTTCATCATCCTTTTCACTTTCAATGAGCAAGCCCACATCCATCTCCTAAACCAAATGCTTAAAGTCAGAATGAGAAAAACAGTTCTGAATTGTCTCACTGCTCACTTTTGCCAGCTGTTGGCCACGAATGTAACTGCTTGTAAGATACTGACCTTTGCACTGACTCGCTGGCTTTTGACGATGAGGTCAGCAAACTTTCTTCAATTACTTCAAGGATGTAATTAACCAACCTTGTAGGATAAACGGTCTTTAAATTTTTTATGATGCCTGTGTCCATTGGCTGGTCCTAACCTGTGGTCCTGGGAGGTAGAAATTCCAGCTGGATGTTCTTCAAGCAATCTAAATAAGGATGTGCTGCACAATTGTCAAGAAGAAGCAGCACTTTTCTTGACTGGTGTTGTAGCTGTCTGTCCCAGTCCTTCAGCCATTCTTAAAAAAGTTCAGGAACCATCCACGCATTTCTGTTCACACGATAGACAACTGGTAAACTGTCCATCCTAAGTCCTTTAACGCAGCGAGGCTTAGTGCTTTTTCCTATAACCAACAGTTTCCTCTTGTCCAGTTAACGATCCATCGCTGTTTTGGAGCCAGAGAGTGCAACATGTTTGTAACTTAACAAGCCATCCGGTGTAGCACGATAATACTGCCCAGTTGCATTGTAGATGTCATCTGCTGAAAAAGTTTCAAGAAACACAGGCAGTTTTTTTTATTTCCATTCTTCAGCAACTGCACTCTCAGCACTTTCTTTCTCGCCATGTGCTTTCTTGAATTTTGTATTGTGTCTAGATTTCCATCGAGGCAACCAACTGTCCGTAGCTTTAGAGTCATTGTGGCCCAACTTTTTAGCGAGTTCTTCTGCTTTTCATTTTAATATTGACCTGCTTACTTGTGCAGCTCGTCCAGTAACAATGGTTAACCATTCATTAAGGGCCTCATCAACGTATGGATCCTCTCCTTCATGCTTCTGTTTTTTTGGAAGTTCCTCCTCATCCTTCACATTGTTCGCATTCTTCTCACAGCTCATTCTCTTGTTTTATGAAGTGCGAAATTGTAGTCTTTGCCAATCTGGTAATTTTCACAAACCAACGCTGACTAGTGTTTCGTGGTTGTTGCTTGATCTTATCCAGGAAACCAATTTTTTCAGCTAACGTCACGTCCCGTAGTGGCATTTTGGCAGACAAGACATGCGCACAGTTCACTGATTAAAGTGGTCTAAAGAAACCGTGGTGTTTCAGGGTTAAGATGTTGAGGTCAAGAGGGAGATAAAATGCTCGCCATTCAAAGCTTTGACACTAATATCATCCCAAAAGGGTGGTGAAATGATAGCTTCCTCATGTAAACTTTACTCATGGTTGACAGGTGGGAATTCCTTTCAAGTGGAGCCGGACACTCTATTGTTCATTTCCTTGAAAATCGGAGATGCAGTGGGACCAATAACCTCGCTGACGGCTACTGGTGGCTCTGTTTTAAGAAAGGTCAAAGAAAATGGCATGCGTGTTCACCTACCACTGGTTTTGCTCTTGTCATGTACTTTAAGGAATTCCTGACATTTGAAAAAGCATTCTTCTGGGGAGTGCAGCTACAGATCTTCCCATATGTCGTGGACCACCTGTATGTGGCCGACTTGTGGCTTCTGTTTCTTATTCGGTCTCACCTCTTTTGGTCCGATTAAACAGAATTTTGGTCCAAATAAGCGAATAATATTAGGCTTATGTACATAGGATTTGTTTCGATTCTGTAGGATTTGGTCCGAAAAAGCAGCTGGTCCGATTATCCGGTTGTCCAATTAACCGGATTCAATTGTACTAAATTCATTTTAGCTCTGAAAGTAGTGCCAGAACTTTACACCAAGATTATAATTACTCCTTTGTTTTGGTTTGAAAGATAAAAGTATTTCATTCTCTCCATGAAAACTGATTTTTTTCTGTTCTCTTCTTTTTTTACATTGGCTTTAATTTCTGTATTTTTGGTTTATGTGTTATTTAAGCATAAAATATTTTTTAATGCATTTGCTTGAATTTATATAATGTGAAGAAATATATAATTTTTGTAAATTGGCATTGTCTGCTTGCATTATTAATTATTTCTAATTAATTTTATTAATGTACTTAATTTATGTAATTTTATTAATGATTGTATTGTGTAGGCGATTTTCAACACCAGAAGAATGTTTATCTGCTGCCAAATTCATGGTTGCTAATCAGATATCAAAGGAACCTGCTGTGCGTAAGTGTGTTAGGCAAACATACTTCGAAAGAGCAAAAATATCTGTTCGTCCCACAAAAAAAGGAATTAAGGTAGAATAAATTTTTTTCATATACATGTTTTGCTTATTAAACATTGCATTTTATGTCATTAAAGTATTTATGATAACATATTATTATGAGTAATAATTTTTCCCCACATGAAACGTCTGTATTATAGGAAATCGATGAGAATCATCCATGCTACAGCATGAAGTATTTGAAAAATAAACCAGTAAAGGACTTAAGAGGAGATCAGTTTTTGAAACTTACTATGGTATGTAACATTTAGGAAAATTAACTGAAAAATGCATATTTTATCAAGAAAATGTCTTGTCTTAAGGATATCTTATTTATGAGGGTTGTAACTTTAATTATGATAATAATTTAGGTATGGACTCTGTTATTAAAGGATGAAGAATCTTTGTGCATGTAATTTCCACTCATTGTTAAAAAACAGTTTACTGATTTTTGAACACGCAATCCTCCATCCGAACATGTGCATATTAAAGGCTAAATTTTGAACTTGTTTTTTATTGATTTCATATTTTGCTTGAATTTAATGTTATTTAGATTTTTATCAAACTTTAAAAATTCTCTCCTTCACATTCATAACACTCCAAATGAATTTAAGCAGCCTCTTATCATGATTACTTCTGTACTTCCAATAACTTCATTTTTTTATCCCCCCAAGAATATTGTGACTACACCACTTTAAACTTCCAACTTGTGTCATGTCACTTCTTGGTACTTCAAGCATTCAACCCAGTTGTTTTTACTTGTCAATGGAGTGCTCTTGGCCAGTGGTCATATAAAAACAAAGCGCTCTGTGGACCGAATTCGTTGCATTTGACAGAAAATGCGGGAACGAGTAAAATTACCCAGAATCCAAAAGATAGTGGAAATAAAGCTGTCCGAGCTGGTAGCAGTAATGGTAGATTTTATTACAGTTATTGCTGATGTGATTAATACAGGAATTTTAATGAAATAAATAAATTGCATAGGGGCAGTATAGATGATGTTATGTAGATAAAAGGTAACGATGTGTGGTTAACAAAACTTTGAATGTGAAAAGGGAAAGCAAATTGCAAATTTCACAAAATCAGTATTTACTGTTGTGACTTATTCGAGGCCTTTTATAAGGATGTTCAGTGGTAGGATCGTAGTTAGTAAAATTTTCAATGCGGCAAACCATGGAGCATTAATGATGGCCCTAAGAATTTTGTTTTACAAAACAACACTTTTCATTTTATGACTTTTAGGGGCAGTTGCCCGCCCATACAGGTACCACATAGAAAAGGTTTGGTCATAATAAAGTTAGATAGAGTTCTTTTCAGTTTTTAAGTCCAATTTAGATTTTCTGTCAATGATACTATAAATTGCCATATATGCTCTATTAGCTTGTATTAAGGGCATAATCTATATGTTCTTTGGTGTTCTTGATCTAGTATCACGCTGATATATTTAGTGGAGGTAACAGCAGAAACTGTTTTTTTCATAAATTTTGATTTCTGTATTTACCAGATAGAATTTCTTGTGAAGTCAAAAAAGTATTAATGCAACATTTTGCCGCATTTGATTTTATCCTCCAGAGATTGCACCAGTGAGTTACAATATTAAGACTGAAGTGGAGGTGATCTATGGCAAGTTTTGGATTTCTTGAGAATGCCAGTATTACGGTATCATCAGCATATTTTGCGAATTTACTACTGAGTGGTTCAGGCATGTCATTATCGAGATTAAAAAGTATCAGTGCGAGGGCGGATCCCTGTGATACTCCAGTACTAATTATTTTCTTCCTGGAGAGAGTATCACCGATTTTAACCTGGAGAGTCCTGTTATAGAGATATGACTTAATTAAATTGAGAAGATTAACTTGGAAATGCATATCATATAACTTGTATAAGAGACCTTGCTGCCAGATTTTATCACACGCTTTTTGACATCTAAGAAGCAAGCTGCAACTCCGTTTTTTTTAGTAAAAGCTTCAGCTGTTGTTTCAGTGACTTTGTAGAGTCATTAGGTTAATTGGGAGCAGAAGAGATGAAAAATTAGCAACCACCTTCGCCGGGAATCGAACCACGAACTTCTGAAATACCGGCTCAGTGTGCAGAACCACTACACCGTGAAGGCTTCCTAGGGAAGTGGGAGAAATACCTTATATACTCCCCTTTTTAAAGGGCGACTAAGGTTTTAGGGGACCTAGTCGCCAAATCCTGGGTGCGGAGAATCGTCATCCACAATCCTTTTACTTCGGACGCCACTTGTAGAGAGACATTAGGATTTTTTGGAAGCAACAAAGATGAAAAATATGCAACCGCCTTCGCTGGAAATCGAACCACGGACCTCTGAAACTGCTCAGTGTACAGAACCACTACACCACGAAGGCATGCTAGAGAAGTGTGAGAAATACCTTATAACTTTAAGTGCTTGCATGGTAGTGATGCAACCCTGGCAAAAACCAAATTGATTATTTCTAAGTATATTATTACTTCAGAGAAAAGTGATGATTCTGATTTGAAGTACACACTCAAAAATTTTTCCAATGCATGGAAACAGGCTTATCGATCTGTAATTAAGAGAATTTTCGGGATCTTTGCCAGGTTTTGGAAATGTTAAAATAACCGCATGTTTTCACTGCTGGGGAAAATAAAGGTTGCACATGCAAGCATTGATGATATTGTTAGTGAGAATAATATATTTTCTGGGAAGTTCTTTAATAACTTTGTTTGAAATCTGATTGAACCCTTGCACTTTCCTAATATGAAGCTTGCAGATAATGTCTTTCATTTCTCTACTGTAGGAGAGGATAATTTGATAATATAATTGTCGATTTTGTTCAGCATCAAGGAATTTTCTTCTAAAACATGTTGCATATGTTCATTATTGGTGGTGGAGTTTGGGGTAAACGTTTCTTCTTAAATTTTGGCAAAAGGATTAGCAATTTCTTCCTCAGATTGAGCTATTTGATTGTTTTGTTTTAAAGGGCCAATTTGATGGGTGCCTTAATTTCTGAGTGATTTTGCAATTTTCCATATTGTTTGCTATTTAATGAAATGTTTTCCAGTATGTGATTCCAATGTTCAGAGGTGTGTTCTTTTATAAGTTCATCAATTTCTTTTACAAGGCTATTAAGAGATCTTTTGATATTAGGATCTCTGATTAGTTTTCAATACTTCCTTACTGTGTTTTTAATTTTGATTTTATCAAGAATAAAGTCCATTAGGATTACTTGAGGTAGTTTCTTTTGTAGAGAATTAAATTTCCAATCCACTCTACATGCACACAGCATCAGAAGAAAAAGCCGCTGTGTTGTGTGAAATGTAAATGGATAGTACTGATTACATTTTCATTACATATACACATTAGTACTGCCACTATTATAATTCCAACCCATTCATGTAGATATATATATATTGTGCTTTCTTTTGTATTGCATATTTGTTCACGTATTGAATTCTTAATCAAATATAAATTAATCTTTAGGCCGAGAGAGATGGTTTTCTAACTATAACAATTGCTATGGATAAACAAGGTAGCAATGATGGACGTCATGTATTTTTAGAAGAAATTAAACAACTATACGAACGTGTATGTATATAAAACATTTTATATATGCATGCTTAATTAAATTCTGATTACATGCAGAGTTTATTGATTGTAATATATTATTATTTCTTATACACAGGATGAATTCAGCAAAAATGTCCAAGAATGGAATGCACAAAGACAGCAGGCCCTAGAAATAGCATTAACTAAGCTTCTGTACCCTACATTTCAAAAAGAATTGAGATTACGTCTGCTGAACGAAGCCAAAGAAGGAGTAATCAAGGTACTTAAAATTTTTTCTTTTCCCCCCTTTTTTTTTGTAATTATCAATTACGATGAAAATGTTATTTCTGAGAAATTTTACGTATAGCAAAGTATAAATGTGCAACAGCTATTGCTTTACAGAAGCTTCCTTAATTTGCTGTTGTGAAATACTGTCCATTTTTAAATGTTTTAATCAGTATGCATATAAATTAACTGTGCTTGAATATACAAGTTTTCTTATTTCCTGTTAAGAAAAAAAGTCATGAGCGTGACAGTGTCATTATTCAGATGCAGCCTCATTCTTAGAGCTAGAGGTATATCATTGCCATATTCTTATTTTTCCTTCCATTTTTTTTGGGGGGGGGAGAATTCAAGGGCTGCTGTAGAGTCACATTTGTGACTGCACGCTAGTTTATTTACAGCTTGTTGAGAGATTTAACTTCTGTTGTGTTAGGGAAAAACACCTAATATGTCTGACAAAACATTAGAAAGCTTGAAACAATCACCCAATCACCTGGGGTAAGTTTCCCTTAAAAGCATTTTTATGTACAAATTTTTATAGAGCTCTATCAACTTCTGTATAAATTTTTTGTATGAGTTGTTCTCATAGTGTTCTTAACAGAGCTCCTGGTGAAATCAGAGGACCAAACAAAAAAGCAGAACCCTTTTTACAGAGCACAAATGTGGAATGTATGGAATGCTTTCGCAACAGTGACTATATGGTGAATTGTGCAGAGAGACTTGCACATGTTTATTGTAAGAATTGCAAATAAAAGTGGGGTTAATACTTTTGCAGGATTGATTGGTGCAGTTTTGTTGGGATCTCTGCCAACTTTCATTGTTCAACTGTAGCTATTTTTCACAGTAGATGGCATAAGTGCCAAAAATTTTAATTTGGGGAATTTAAAAGTAATGTATCAAATAAATTTAGTCTTAATGAATTGAGTGCAGAGTATTTCATCTAAAGCTGATAAATATTAAGTAAAGTTCCATTTGTATCTACAATTATTCTATGTACATATATCCACAATGACTAACCCTGATTTAACTTTGGCTTCAAGCGACTTAGCGGATAAGGCAAACAGAGAAATAATTTATGATCCTAGTTCTAGCCATCACATTATTGTTACTTCATTCTGAGTTGAGGGGAAAACCTCTAAACAGTATTATTCTAACCCCACGAGCGTTAAACGGGAAGTATTTTGACTCAAACTACTTCAAAAGCGGGGCTCCCCTTACCATGTGGATATAATTAAGCTAATTCTCTCCTCTGTTAAATTTAGTGAGTGAAATTAGTTTTTCTCCCTATGGTATCTTCGTCACAGGATTGGTTGCTAAAATGTTATTTTATCTCCTGTTTGGCTAAAATGTTATTTTACCTCCTGTTTGGCTAAAATGTTATTTTACCTCTTTGGCTACATTATAGTTTGCATACTAACACATATGCTGTATATTGCTCATACCTTAATCAAGATATGTGCCGAATAAGAAAGTTAGTAAATATGCATCAGTAATAGAAACTACGTAAAATGCTTTAAATTTCCAGTTTCTTTAAGGAATTGCTTCGATGATGGTGAAAAATTTATCATTGCATTCTTTATAGTTATTTTCTTAGAAAATACTTTTTAATATACAAAGGGAATTTGTGGAGAATTTTTGCCCTCATGTTCTAATCTTTTCGAATACAAATTATTCGCAACTTATTTTAATATTATGTTTATATTAGTTTTCAAATATTTAATTTTCAAATATTTTAAGTTTATTCCAGATTAAAGTATTAGATTTAAATAATTCTTTAGATTGCATCATAAATTTATTAGAAGTTAGTTATTTATGACATCATTTTGACTTTTGAAAAATAAGTAAAGTATTGTAATCGCGAAAAATTTCGATTTTCATATTTCAAAGGAAATTTCCATTTTGATTAGTTCCATCATGACGCTTACACGTATGTATGTCGCATAACTTCACCATAAAATGCTGAAATTTTATATTTGGAACTTATGACTAGTTTTGGTGTGATGTGTGTGTCCATATGTGTGTATTCATGTATATCGCATAACTCAAAAACGGTAAACCATAAAATGTTGAAAGTTTCTGTATGCGATTGCTACAACATCTAGTTGTGCACCTCCCTTTTTATTGCAATCGACAGTTCCAAATGGGCATTTTGAAATGGAAGAGCCTATTTCATTTTTAAACGAAATAGGTTTAAATGAAGTTTAGCAAAAAATGTGTTTAATTTATTTGGTGTACAAGGAAGTCATGTGATGTGTGATGTCCGCATCAGATTTTTTTAAGATGTTTCAAAATAAATAAATATATGGTTTGAATATCAAACGATCTCAAATATATGAGCTTTATTTGTTTGTAAATATTTTACAGGAAAGATAAGAAGTAATCTAAATAGCATATCTTGAAGAGAAACACATTAAATACACTTTTTTTTAAAGCAAAATTTAAAGAATAACTGATTAAATTTCTTTAAATACCTTTTGTAGAATATCTTATATGAAACCAGATATTGTTTTCTGAAAGACAATTCGTAGAGTGATTAGGTTTTTTTTATGCTAAGGACGTGAAAAATGAGCAATGCCCTCGCCAGGATTCGAACCTGGACCCCTCGAATACACGCTGAGAGTGCTGCCATTACACCACGAAGGATGCAGTGAGAAGTTAGAAAATACCTTATATACTCCACCTTTTAAAGGCCGACTGGAGATTGGAGACCCAACTGCCAAATCCTGGTGGTGAAGAATCATCATCTATCCCCCCTTTTTTTAGTTCGGATGCTACTGTAGAACATTAGGTTATTTGTGGAGGAGACACATAAAAAATGAGCAAAGCCCTAGCCGGGACTCGAACCTTGGACTTCTCGAATATACGCCGAATGCACCTTGAATGATTACACCTTGAAGGCATACAGAAAGGAGGGAGAAAATACCTTATAACTTTAAGGAGGAAAGTATTGTTTTAAAATGAATATCCCACAATAATTTTTGTCTTAAATTGTCTTTCTGAAAAATACTTTTTGTAATGTTCATTCTATAGTTCATCTATAGAATAATACAGCAATATTTCTATACATAAATTTGATGTTCTTAAAGTTATGTTATCTAAATGTATTTATAAGCAGTCAGTTAAAACACAATACAACAACTGCACAAGATCTACGTAAAGATCCATTTCTATCATCTATTTCCATATATTCTATTATCCGTTCCTGTCTATTCTATGATTAGCCAAAATAAAGTTATAATTATCCTCTTGAATATTTGAACGGGTAAAATATATCAATATGGCATATGCGAACAAGTAAAATTATCTCATTACTGTAAGGGATGTTTAATGTGAAACTTCCTTTAAAAAGGCGAAACATATGACAGTTTTAGATTTAGTTTAGTTTATTTGATTACGGAAGTAAGAAAGTGTTATCTTACTAATGAAAGTATGTCTTCGTGAAGAACTTCCCAAGGGAAATTGGCTGGTGTTGAACCACAGAAGGAAAATCATCGAAGCGTCCATGCAGTCAACCTGTTTGCCAGAACTTGAGTCTGGGTCGAACTACTAGTGTTCAACGATATTACCGCTCGACTATTGGCTAGCCCATACCTATTTAGGAAAATTTGACTTTGAGTGCTATGTTAAATTTTTAAATCTATGTGACATGCAAATTATTTAGCTGATGCAATGTAATAGCAAATTCTTTAATGACTCGATTCTTGTAGTTTTCTACAAAACTGGGGTTTTTGATGGCCGACTGAATAAGACCACAAAATATGGTCCTTCGATACAGATTCAAATCATGGCGTACAGCCTGGCTATATAGGAACTTTTTAGTACTTCTCTGTGTGAAATACAATTATGAGCCTAGTTTCCGTTCAGAATCTTCCATGAAAGCATTCTACTTCTTAGTCAGATGATTCAAGAATGTTTCATCGTTTTCAATTAAAACAAATAAGCTTTTTAGGAAGTATTACGTAAAGCATACATTAATCATTTATTTTTTCCAAAATATTCTTATTAAAAATCTATTTAACAATGATTATATTGTTTATATATCCTAGTAAATTATGAATATTTTTTTAGTTTTTTGTTATCTCTGTTTCTGTGTATTATAAAAACTCAAGCATTTAGAATTTTGCACAAAAATAAAATCTTTCTTTAGTAACAAATATAACGTTTGCAGTCGAAATTATGTAAGAAAAATACAATTTTTTTTTTTTTTTTTTTTTTTTTTTTTTGCAGCAACAATATGCTTTGGCTTATTTGACTAATGCAAAGCATTCTAGGGCTATCTGCCTAAAAGTAGGGATGCCTTTGTTGGAGGACTTTTTAAGAATTCAGGATTAGTATTCCATTGTTTCAATGCCAAGACGCCTCCTGAAATCTTTGTTATAAGTATTAAAATTTTAAAGCCTTAAAATCATAGTAAATACAGTTTCTGAAACTTATTATATTCATACAACTGCTTTGCAGTTGAAGAACACTTTCTATTTTGAAATTTCTTGCTGTAGGACTAATGTAAAAGTTAAATTTTGTAAATTAGTATATGTAGATAAAATGATTTTATATAGCATAAAGATATAATACGAACTTTTTTTAGATTGAAAAGGTGACGATCAGTTTAGAATCAACAATTTAAAAAATAATCAAACATAATATCCATTTGGAAATACATTCCATATAATTTTCGAAGTTAAGATGTCCAACAAATCATATAATGCTGTCGTGCTGGTACATTTATAAAGACTTACCCTTTTTTGCCTTGCGTTCCCTGGTGGTGCAAGTAGTAGCAGATCCAACTAGTAGACTGAAAGACCTATGATTCAAATTTCAGTCGTTAAGAGAGGAGAATATATGGAATTAACAGCACGTCCAGCTGAATAAGTTTGAAGATTCATGATTGTGTTCAAGGCCTCATCAATATGCCGAACAGTTAAGACCTCTGAATCTGAATACAGGTAGTTCGGCCTGGTTTGAGTTCGATCTCAGGCGAACGAGCTGATTGCATGGTTG